AAACAGCAAAATTCTGAATTTATATCAGATTGGACCAAAATAAACACTATGATCTGCACCAACCCCTGCATTTTAAAATTTAGTGTAATTCTGATATAAAAGTGTGCAATTTTTTAAAATAACAACTCGCAATTCTCACACTTATATTTGTTTCGGTGTAATTTTATAATACTAATAATAATAATGTATTTTTGGTTAAATTACAACGAGCATATATTAACACACCCAACTTGCAGTTAGCTCTTTCAGAAAGGCACCAAACTAAAGGAAAACTAGTGACATGTGGGCTTATTATGCGAATCAATGGGTTGCTGGTTCAAATCCCTGCTCCATCTTTCCCAGTCATGTCCTTTGGAAAGACACTTCACCCATCTGTTGATGGTCAGAGGGCACAGTGGTGCTGCTGTTCGTCAGTGTGCCCCAGTGCAGCTGTGGCTACAATCCTGCAGCTTTCCACCATCAGTGTGTATGTAAGTCCACTGTAAAACATTTGAGGTGCATTTAGTTACATTTACTATCTTCTACTCTTTCAGTCAAATAAATTTGGCAAGTTTTAGATTTTTAACCTAAATGTGTGAGTTTGAGAAAGATAAACTTACAGTAGTAAATTACAGTAAGTAAGTTACAGTAGTTGTGTTAACTTTTTATTAAATTTTGTCATACCTCCAAGAGTTGAATAAACTAGAGATTTTAGGCTAGCATTTAAAAAAAAGTGAAAGAAGACAAGAGTGGGAATTAATTCCCAATGTGCTTAGCGGCATGTTTTTGTATCCTGTGTGGCACAGTCAGAGAGATGGAAGTGTGTTACATTCACCTGCCTCTTGTGTGTTATTAAGGCAAATATTCATTTTGATAAGATTATATGGTTCTCAGTTTAGCTGTCCTGTTCACACTAAATGTTTTTGATCAGAATTGATTGTCAGATCATAAATTTTGTTCATGCAATTTGAAACAAGATTTTATTAAATTATTCTAAAGTAAAATAAGTAGTTATTTTAAACTCAATAATGTGAGTGAAAATAATACAGAAGTGTGTGGTCTATGCCCATTGTGAAATAATTATATGGTTTAAATTGTAGCATTAAGCTAAGCCTCATAATTCAAGATTAATGGTCTAATAATTGTGTTTATTCATACCTGTTGTTTGAAAAATCCTTGAATCTCCCATGGCAACCATTCGGCTGTGTAAAATGTTTGGGGGGGACAAAGCAACACCTTGGAGGATGAAGCTCCTCCTTACATCTGAATTTTAAGTTTCTGCGATTCTGCCTAATAGAGCACCCCTCCCAATGAGTTCCCAACTGAACTCCGCCAGACTAGCCAGCAGCAATTAGCAAACACCTAATTGGGGGATCTGCACTTCTGCCGAGCTCATTATACAAGCTACTTCTCAGCGCAACGCTGGTAAAAACATCGTTAAAGTAAAGAGCACAGTTGTGGTCTTTACTTTAAGTGAAAGCACTTTAAAAGCACTTTAAGTAAAAGCACAACACTTTAAGTAAAAGCACAGTGCCTGTCGTTCGGCGACAACAGGCGCTTAAATTCCGTAACAAAAGTATGTTTTTATCTTTTTTTTAATCTTTTTCTTTTTTTTCAAAATCTTTCTCTTTCTTACTGTTTATTCAATGTCACATGCTGTTCTTATTTTTTTTTTTCTTTAATTATGCAAAGCACCTTGAAATGCCTTGCTGCTGAAATGTGCTATACAAATAAAATTTGATTGATTGTGATGACTTCCTGAAGGCAGAGTGAAAGAGCAAGAGTTTCTTAAAGAGACAGAGGCTGTTTTTAAAGACGTTAAATTACAAAGTCCAATTTTGTACATATACACTTATACGGCACTTTTATTACAACTGAACGTAACATGACATGGATATTTAATTGTGCTATAAAATGGCACGATGTGGCTGGAAAACACATAATACTGCACCACTAATAAAAAAGAAAGACATATTAAAATCAGAGCCATGTGTATAATCAGTAGAGAACTCAAAACAACTTGACCCCCTAATGCAATCTGAACATTTTAGGGTTCATCTCTAACATAACATATTAGAGATGACAGACAAAATACAGGAAACAACCTCATAGGACACATTTGGCAGCGTAACATGCCATTGTTTGATTTTTTTTTTCCTTGAGGGCTGACTTCCCATTTAGCCGTCATATCCAACATCAGATATTACTACTGGATGAGGGAAGGTCCATGAGTGCATTATGGAAGAACTTTACCAAACATTTTTGTAATGAAATTTTTTTTTTGTTTGTTTTTTTTGCACATGCTTTTTTCATGTGTTCAGTGCTAGCATTTCTTCAATCCTAAGTCCTTACAAATACATGGATTTATTTGAATGTATGTATTGATCTAACTTGAGTCTAACTTGAGTCCTTCATATGTGTGGATTACTTGGGCTGTTACCAACATCTGGACTCAAATTCATGTCAATTAAATTATTAAAAATGTATTTGCTTAGTAAAAAGATGATGTGTTTAACACACATATATATTTTACACAGTGTATATTTTATTCTGCACGCTAAACCTTTGCTGTTGATCTTTTTTCTCTTTTGACTCATTTAACTATTTTTAAGAAAATATATACAAAGCATATGTTTTAAAAAAAAATCTGGAAACACATTCAAAACAGAAATATGTATAACAACATCCATTTAAACATGCATGCAAATGTAACAGGGAAAAGTCACACTGCTAAATTAAAAACAGAAAAGTCGAAGCCCTTGTAAAATTTACAGGAGTATATTGATGAAAGGACAGAAAAAACATTACGGAGGTTGAGAAGGGTTTTGCACTCCAACCACTTCTTCATTATCTGGATTTTGTCTCCTGCAGACTTTAAGCAATAATGACATCAAGTTGCTTCTGAACTTTTTATCTATAATTGCATAAACCACAGGCTTCAAGCAGCAGCAGGAGAAAGCAAGGTGCTGACTCACATGAAATGCAAGGTCTAAGTTCGCTTTTGACAGCTGATCCAAATCATGTGCAAAAGCTCTTGAAATATTCACGACATTGTAAGGTATCCATCCGATGAAAAACACAGCTGCAGTAGAGAAAACTGAGATAACTGCCTTGTTTATTCTGTTGGACTTTGTTCTTTTGATCGTTATCAACATGTGAATAAAGCAGAAGGCAATCACTGTAAATGCAGTAAAGAAAAGAAAATTCTGCAAGGCAATTTTCACTTGAATAGTGTAGTATTGATTGTTGTGTGTACCAATGGGGTAGGTGTGGAATCTTGCTGGTGCAATACTGATCATCCACATGGAGAGAGACAGAAAACCCAAAGAACTTTTGTTGAACAGATGGACGTCAGTCAGATATTTGCAGACGCCGGACATGGTGGTAAAGAAAAAGATGTTGCTGTAAAACCCAATAAAAAGAACAAAAGTCAGAAACTTGTAGACAATATCTGGAAACACCAATCCCCAGACGAGGTCGGTGACCCAGAAGGAGAGACCAATGGTGAAGACGAGGTCAGAGATGGCCAAGTTTAAGATGAGGATGTTGGCCAGAGATTTCAGGTTTTCGTACAAAGCCAAGATCACAAGGACGAGGATATTTCCTATCAGACTCAGAGAGATGACGATAGAAAAGAGCACTGTCGAGAAATTGGCTCCAAACTGGACCTCACTCTTTTCACAGACATTGCTACCACAGTTGTAGTTGAATTTTAACGAGGAATCCATAGTTGATGAAGTGGAACCTGCAACAGAATATTTAACTCTGAATTTATTAGTTTAGCACAACCCTCCCTATCAGCAACATTATGGCATCAATAAAAACAAACTAATTTACCAAGCTGAGAAAGAGCGATTTGACACAAACCTTTCACAGATTTCATCGTTATAGTAACAGTCGCATCCGTAAATAAAGCTGGAAAAGTTCTTTGTTGCTGTTTAAATAATTTTGTTTTTTAAGGAGACAGCTCTAGTATTTACATTTAGAGCCAAATCACAGCTCCTGTTTTATAGCCACTGCTTTTTGATAAGTTACAAAACAACTTACCTTCCTTCTGATGGGACTGAAACTGATATGACACTCTGATTTTACGCTTTCTGTTTATCACCGCATTTTTTTCTGGTGTAGTTATCTTTAGATCGTTTCAGTAAACTCATATCATATGGGTATAATTAGCTCTTTACTAAAACAGGAAACCTCTATTTCCTGTTTTAACAAGTTATGCACAACACCCTCTTTTCCATTTGTGAAGTTTCATTAGTTTGACAGAACTGATTTTCACCAGGCATCCATGTTTGGGTCTACCAATCCATCTTGTAAAACAACACTGAGAGAAAAACAGTTGACCTCGCTGTTTTGGACATTTTTAAATGTTTTCATCTTGCTAATTCTAATTCATTAAAATCTCACCTTCAGCTTACTATTTACTGCTCTATTAGCAGGATCAACTCGAAAACGTTTCCATTAATATTCAAGTGTGTGGATGCAACGCTTTGAGCCAGCAGAAGATGGCGTAGTTTAAACATAAAAGAGATGTGCAGTTTTTTTGTTTGCAGCATATAGAGGGAATTTTTTGCTGAGTTATAAAATCATATGAAAAATTACTTTACATGAACAATGTAAAATAATTCAACCTGTTTAATATGTCATATAAAAGAACAACTTTTATTCCATTGAAAAAGTGAACAGTGACTTTACAAATATAAATTACAATGTAAAATTAAGTCAAATACAAAACAATTAAACTGCTGCATAGCAGCTCATACAGAAATGAACTTACTTTTCAAATTATTTGTAAAAAAAAAAAAAAGAAAAAAAAGGATTATTTACAGGCTGTACAATAGAAAATTGCAGTCTTTACCAGTCTTTGGACAAACTTACTAAAAAGGCTGAGTACAATATTGATTGAAATTTAATACTAAGAGCATCATTACCATTAAACCAGTCTGATTTTTTCACTCAGTTACTGATGTCCTTTGGAGTCACGTCATCTACTGATGTCGGTCCAAAATCACAGCAGCTGTCTGTCAAAATATTTTAGAGCATACCTCGCTTTCCTCTGCTCACAAGCTTTATGGAGATGATTTTTCCATTAGAAATCGGATGTTGACCACAGTGACAGAAAAACCAATGTCTGCTTTGAAGATAATGATATCACTGTGAGTGATTAAGCAGCAAACTAGCCTAAGCTTAACTCCAAAGGGAATTAACAAAATATTGTCAGAAGGAAGATGACAGGAAGCAGACCAAATCATGCAAACAAACAGATTTCCGTCAAAGCAACCTTTGCTTTTTTGCACACCTCAGCAGTACTGCAGATTGATTGCATCCAGGTCAACCCTTCAAGTCCACATTGAGTTCGCCTTGAGAATGCACAGAATCAAGTGCCCTAGTCTTAACAGAAAAATCAGCCTCTCAGGAACTCCGGAGCCATTTTTTCTCCTCAGTCTGCCCCTGCATCTAGTAGATTGATCCACGCGAGACAAGATTCTGCATTCTGACTTCCTGATTGTCAACTGGACTCAGACAGCTGACCATTTGATGCAGCAGTGACTTTGAATGGTTTCTGAATTTCCCGCCAACAAATGCATAGAAGATAAGGTTCAAGCAGCAGCGAGAGAACGTAACAAGTTGACAAAATTATCCTTCACCTTGATTTAAGCTTTTACATTTGACATTTTTATTTTAGAATGAGAATCAGTGGAACAAGCGCAATATTTTGATAAGTCTGCAGATTTAATTGCTTGGTTGAGTAATGCAATACACTCATATTTCTTATCAGTTCCTGTTTTCTCTCTTTTTACATTATAGACTGTTCTGTAAAGGATCTGATTGATTAAAGACAACACTTCAAATCTATTCAAGACCTGCAGTATATCAAATAAAGGAATAAGACCCCCATATTGTCTTCACTCCAACACATGAATGTAATTAGTCATGAAAGACTTCAGACAGATGAATAGTTTGTTTCAAAATATCAAATATGGAGCACTTTCTCTTAACATTACAGACCATGTATCTTAAAAAACAATCTACCCATCTATATATAATAAACATGGAAACATAAAAAAAAATAAAATATAGTAAAGAAACATATTCAAGGATGAAGATATTTGCATCTAGTAGATTGATCCACGTGATACAAGATTCTGCATTCTTATTTCTTGATCAACTGGACTCGGGCGGCTGAACATTCGAAGCAGCAGTGACTTTAAATGATTCCTGAACTTCACACCAACAAATGCATAGAAGACCGGGTTCAAGCAGCAATGAGAGAAAGCAATCAGTCGACAAATGTAAAAGGCATAGTCAAGCTGGATACTCAGATCACATTCATTAAATAACTGAAGTTCACTGTGATGTAAAACTCTAAAAAAGATCACCATGTTGTAAGGCACCCAGCCTACGAAAAAGACGGCCACGATGCAAAAAACTAATTTTACTGTTCTGGTTTTGGTGCGGGACTTTGTTTTGGTGATCCTCTTTAAAATCTGAATGTAACAGAAACCAATCACTGCAAATGCACCCAAGAAGAAAACATTCTGCTGGGACATACCAATGATTTTCCATTGCGGGTCTTTAAATTCACAGCCCAAAGAGTGTGTACCATTGTGGTGGACTGAGACGAGGGCAGTTTGTAGCAGGGATGGCATGGCTGCTCCAATGCTGATCATCCACGTGAGGACAGACAGAAAAAACCCAGTCCCAAGCTTTAGAAAACTCGTGTCAGAGAGCGGGTGGACCACAACCAAATACCTGTAGATGGTCATGATGGTCAGAAAGAGGACGCTACTGTAAAACCCAGTGAAAAAGACAAAATGCACAATCTTGCAGGCAGTCTCTGAAAACACCCATCCCCAGACGTCATAGATGGCCCAGAAGGGGAGACCGATAGTGAAGACCAGGTCAGAGATGGCAAGATTGGCAATGAAGATGTTGGTCAGGGATTTCATGTTTTCATACAAAGCCAAGATGACAAGGACGAGGATGTTTCCTGTGAGACTCAGAGTGACGACGATAGAGAAGAAAATTGGAATGGCGATGGATCCAAATTTAACCACTTCACCTTTGTCACAGACTTCATCATCATAGTCCTGGTCGTATTCATAAGTAGAGTTAAAGGATTCCATAGCTAGTTTGGTCGCACCTGCAAAGCAAAATTAATATCGAATTTATTGATATAGTAAAATCTCTTTTAATACCTACGAGGTATTTACTTTGGAGAGCAGAATAACTTACCTTGTTCCTCATGAGATACTGGATGTAACACTGAATGTTCAGAAGCAGGTAATAAATAGTAAAACAGCTGCACTTCCCCTTCCAGTTGGTTAAGCCACCACAGCTGAATGGTGACCTCATGACTTGGAGAAAGTTTGGTTAAAATGTGCTCCAAATGAATTTTGGTTTCATTTTTAAAAATGCTTTTTAAAAGAATTACTTCAGTTTGTTTATATATTTACAAATACCAATCTATTCTTTGTAATGCATAGTAGTAAATGTTGCTTTAAAAAAAAAAAAAACAGAACAATGCAAAGATTTGAAACATTTCCATGGAGTGCACATTCAGATTAAAGGAAATGCTAGTATAACTTTGAAATGCATGCATCATTTTAAAACAAGAATACACTATTTATTTATTTAGGTTCTTGTTTTGCTTTGTTTGATCTAGTTTAATCTTTAACATTTGACACAGAGCTTTTTTGGCTGTATCATTGTTTCAGTGCATGGTACATGTACATGTACATCCATGTGAATCTCTTGACACTGGAATGCATTTTAATAACTACATTGCTTAGTTGACTGATATAAAAATTCCCAACTAAATGAGTAGTCATGCATGATTTAGTTTTTGGTAAAGTTAATTTCACTATATGTTTTGGTTCATTTTTGGTCTTAAAATTTCAACAGAAATAAAACATGATGTTTTAATTATATCAACAGTCCAAATTGATAATTTAGGAGATAATAATGTAACACTGAGTAGTGATCTAAATCAGTGCCACCATAAAATAGGAGATCGTGGGTGGAGAAACAGCAGACACTGAGAAGGAATAGCGTAGCTGTGCCGACTTTTATTCAACTGTGTAACGTCCCAGCCCCTCATAAGAAGAAGCCCTCAAAAAAAACAAAAAAACAAAAGAAACACAGCGCCACCACTCATCCATGGAACATCCCCAGCAAATAACCAATCTCACATGAAACCATATTAATTGAAAAGAAAAAATAAATAATCTTACAATAACATGAAATAATATGAGGAGATGTTTCAATTTCCCTTCAAATAAATATATAGGTAAGTTTGACCTCTTTCTTCATGAAAAAAGAAGCGGGGCATTCTATAATGCGTCATTGATCACATGACCGCAGTGTTTACTGTGATAAATCAACCAAGCATTCCCTTTCCACGTCCCGCCCATGTTCCCCAGGTGATTGGTCAGATGGCCTCATGAAGTGTTCTCATTGGGCAGTTAGTGCTGTCAATCACATGACTCTTAACAAGTTTGACTGCTCGGAGTTCATCGTTATGGGCTTAACTCATATCTAAAAGAAGTATGTATTTTTTAAAGAACTGTTCTGTTTTTATTTGTTTATAAACCGTTTAGAAAGATGTCAATTTGTCCAAACAACAACTTTGTGTTGATGTCATGGTTATTTGTGCGGGCTTTTCGATTTATTTGGCGTTGTGTGTTAAAACCTTTGTGTAAGTACTCTTGGAGAGCTGTAAAAGTTCGTTTATGTGCGTTTTCCCCCTCTTATTTCAGAGTAACCCCTGTAGAGCTGTAAAACTATTACTTGTGTTACATTTTAACTTGATTCGCGTTACCTTAAGTTAGCTATTGGAGAACAATTTTGTTGAATGTTTGAGTTGTGCTAGCTTTCTGTGTCAACAACATTTTCAATACACAACACATTATTTGTGTTGTATCCCGCTAGCTATAAGGACATGTGTCCTTATTATGTTTTATTTGTCAGAAATATGTTTTTTATTTATTTATTTTTTTGAAGAATTTTCTGTCAGTAGAGTGTTTACTCTGCTTTAGTCTTGTCATTTTTCTCAGAGGAGTGTTTAAACACTCTGGGGAGTAGTGGCAGGACAAGCTAAGACTTAGGTTAATAGCTAAAATCATGTTACATATCCCGTTTTTTGGCTTTTGTTGAATTTAAAGAAGTGTAAACACAATGTTTCAATGTCACTGGCAAGGACATGTTTTGTATTTTCTGTTGCCCTCATGATGATATTCTATTTCTTGCAAAGATTTGAGAAATTAATCTGTGATAATAGGTGAGATTGTAAAAAAGTTGAAGTATTTTTAGTTTCAGACATCATTTTGAACATTGGTATTCTCAATCAAGTCACAGGTGAAGTGAATAACACTGATTATATGTTGGTGGGATAGTAAAGATTTTTGATTCCAATAAAAATAAGGATATGGGTAATTTAAATGGTTATAGAGCTGGATCTTAGCATCTATGATTATTCAGCTCTTGTGAGGTGCTCCTAGTCTACACAGTGGTCAGTATGCATCTAAAATGGATGAAGAAATTAAAAGTGGTTCAGAGTAAAAGAGGCCTGCATGGCCAGATCCAACAGACAAATGGCTGTAGCTGAATTAGTTGGAGGTCTTAATGCTGGTTCAGGTTTTGTTAGAAAGACGTAGAATACATAATGAATCATAGTTGGATCATCGTTCGTTGCATACAGGGCTGCGTAGCCACTGTGAGGATGCCGACTCGAGTCCACTGCTGACAGTGCAGCACTACAGTGATTATGGTTACATAATCATGAGAACTGCAAAAGGTGGTACAGATGGATGAGTGATTTTTTTTGTTAGTTTTTTTCTTTTACATGATGTGTAAATGGCCAGGTGTGTATGTCGCTAACATGAGGAATAGATAATACCAGAATGCACTAAGGAACAAAGACAGTTGATGTTTTTTTACTGCTGGGTAAACTTGGGTCCTACCATCTTTATAGAAATTATTTTGACATGTAACACTTACTGAAACTTTATGGCAGACATCTGTCAACTGCTTCTTGATTGCTGTGCCCTCTTCCAGTAGAATAAAATGGCCCTGAAGTTATCCTGCTGACTTGGCATCAAAATTCGCAGGGTGTCAATCCAGTTGAGCGTTAGCAGTGGAATGTACTGGACAAACATCTCTGACCTGATGAGGCCTCATATTGCACCTTTCAGGACTTAAAAGATTTGTTGCTAATAATACGTTGCGAGGTACCACAACAAACTGAGGCTTGTGGTCATAATTTTATGTCCTGGCAGTGTGCACTATGCATTCTGATGTTTTTCCAAATCATCACTTAGCGAATGGGGAAGATGCAGTGGCTAACATTTCAATTACTTGAACTATTTAGCATAAAGTCATGCAGCCATGCCCTGTTATTCAGTATTATGACATTTATGACGTTTTACATAGTTACTAGTCCAGAAATAGTTTTCTTCCTAGAACTGGATTATGCTTTAATCGTCTAACCATGAATTATGGTTTATCTGTCTTATATCCATACAAGAGCATGGTGGAAGCAATTGTGACAATATTTTGTTCCATACTAATTGTGATTCTCTGACTCCGCAGACTGGATATGACTTGGTGACTCGCTCAGAGAGCGACAGGAGGGGCCATGGCGGTCGGAGAGAGCCAGCTTCAGAGGATTATCCGAGATCTGCATGGTACGTCACCTTTATGTTTTTATGTGTATGTGTGCGTTTGTTTGTAATACCTTGTGGGGACCATTTTCCTGACACATACTACACGGTGGGGACCCTCTCCTCCTTGTGGGGACCAAAGTCTGGTCCCCACAAGAGGAAACGCAGTTTTTGGGTCGGGTTAGATTTAGAACTAAGGTGTGAATTGAGTTTTGGTAAGGGGTAGGGTTAGGTTTAGATATGTAATGGTTAGGGTAAAGTTTAGGCTATAGAAATGAATGGAAGTCAATGGAAAGTCCCCACATAGATGGCCACGCAAACATGTGTGTTTGTTTTATAGCATTTCTCACCTTGCAAGACTTGTATTTCCAACAAACACTACACTGTGAGGACCCGGTGCTCCTTATGGGGCCCAAAGTCCAAGCCCTGTAAAAATAAGGACTGTTTTGGGGTTACTGATTAGGTTTAGGACTAAGGTGCGAAATGAGTTTAGGTTGCACTTAGTGTTAGGCATCTAATGATTAAGGGTTGTTTAGTTTCTGGGTTTCTAATGAAACCCAGAAACTTTCATTTAGTTATAGAAATAAATGGAAGTCAATGCAAAGTCAGTGCAAAGTCCTTGTGAAGGTAGAAAGATGTTATGTCTGTGTGTTCTCATTTATGGGCTGCATGTGGTTGTCGACTAAAACAAAAAGGAAGAAGAAATGTGCTACAGCTATAGATCCATAAACATGCTTTGAAATTTAGGAAAGCGACCATCCGAGTCCTTATTTGTATAGTTAGCCTATTTTGGAAGCTTCTAACAGCATGCAGCTAGAAGGAGAGCGTGTGCCAGAGATGCACTCACCTCGAGTTTCTTACCAGTTTTTGAGGTAGATGCAAGGTCCATTTTCTTCTCTTCGGATATATCTGTATGTGAACTTCAGATGCTGTTGCAGAGCTTGAAAAGGAGTACAAAGAAAGTGGGGAGCCAATCACAGATGACAGCGTCAATCTGCACAAATTCTCCTACAAACTGGAGTATCTGCTACAGGTGGGATTTTGCATGTATTGGTACATCGGTTAATCAGTGGGAAGTGCATAATTTATTTCTGAAAAGTAGATAACTATTAAGAGAATTTGAAGGAATGTTTGATATATTTTTCACAGTGCTAAGATAAATGTCAGGATGTTCTTGTCTATTTGTGAAAAAGTAGAATTTGAGCATCTTCTTCACATTGTTTTTTTCAGTTTGACCAAAAGGAGAAAACAACTTTTCTGGGCACCAAGAAGGACTACTGGGATTACTTCAACGACTGCCTGGCTAAGACCAAAGGAGCAAATGATGGCATCCGTTTTGTCAAATCCATTTCTGAGGTGCATCTGTTGTTTATAATTCAGACATTATTTTAGTTCATTAAATATATGAGACCATAACACGGCCATATGTTTAGGATTTATTTTCATGTCGCCTTAATTGGTTGCTCTTTTATGTTTTGGAAATAAATGTTATGTTAATTTTTATTGAAGTGATGGTTATGTGTAAAATGATTCCTGTTTCCTTCTTCAGCTGAGGACATCTCTGGGAAAGGGACGAGCATTCATCCGCTACTCCCTCGTTCATCAGCGATTGGGTGACACACTGCAGCAGTGCCTGATGAACCAGAGAGTCACCAGGTAGAACAACCACTGAATTTTCAGTTTTTGTTTTTACTTGCATTGATGTAACCGAACACACATCAATATTCAGTATTTCATGATTTTTACTTATAATGAGACTAAGGTAAATGCTTAAATGCTGTAAATCACATTTTGCTTCCTCCTGCTTCAGTTATAGGAGTAAATCCAGATGTTTCAGACTTATCTCAAACTTAGGTTATTGTAAATTAAAATATAAGGCAACAGTTCTTTTTTTTTATTTCTGGTTAATTTCTGCCTCAATCCAAGTCTTCACAATGAACTTAAATGTGGCTAATCATCTCAAGTGGAGATCTTGAGACTACAAATACAATAATTAGTTTGCTGTCTTTAAGCTGTTCATCATCCATCCAGGAGATCATCAATATTTTTTTATATAATTCTGAAATATTGTTTCTCAATCTTCCACTCTGCCTCATCATTCAGTCCTTAAATCTCTCCACAGTGACTGGTACTATGCAAGGAGCCCCTTCTTGAAGCCTCAACTCAGCTCTGACATAATTAATCATCTGTACGAGCTCAACGAGGTCCAGTTTGATGTGGCTTCCAGAGGTCATGACCTCGATGCTTCTTGGCCAACATTTGCAAGGTATTAAAGCAGACAAACCCTGAAATCACAATACAAATCACACGACATGCCTTTGTTTTTATGGTGCCGTTTACCAGTATTTACCATTAGCAAAGTTTGAGAGAGAGAGTTTAGTTGGAACATTTTAATTAAAATACTTATTGTCTTGTAAATAAAGCTGATCTCACGAAAACAAACTAGAAACGACGACAAAACTGCCGTAGTGATATTTTACTGTAAAAGACTTGCTTATTTTCCAAACAGGAGGACAGTGGGAAGTGCAAATTCACCTGGCCACATGTGGAAACCACCAAGTCGTAGTTCCAGTATTAATAGTCTGGCCAGTTCCTATTCCCAGGTAATTAACATTTGCAACTAATAATAATCTCACATGAAATCTATTTGAATATATTAATTACTGCCTCGCTTATTTTTCTCCATTTCAACCATGTAGCAAGCTCCTGAGTGTGCCTCCAGCCCAGACTATGGGCACAGTTTGCTGAACGATCTGAATGATTCACTGCCTGCCTGCATGGAAGATGGCAACACAGTTGAAAACCTTCGCCTGGAGCTGGATCAGTCAGAGCTAAAGCAGAGAAATCTCCTTGATAAGGTTCAGCAGCTTGGCGAGGAGTCTGGCGAGTTGAAAGGAGTGATTGAAGAGCTTCAGAGGCAGCTTGATGTGTCGCTCGCTGCTCAAGAAGGACACCGAGGCTTGCAGGAAGAACTCGGAGTCCTGCAGGGGCGAGACGTTGTCCTAACCAGACAGGTGGAAGCACTCAGGGCCGAGGAAAAAGCCAAGGAAACTCAGCTTGTCTCGCTTCAGGAAAAGCTAGCAGCTACTGAGCAAAAGAACATGGAGCTTATGGCGAAGTTGGATGGGTTTCTAGATGAGAAAGGCCAGCAGGCTGCCAGTCATTTTGATTCAGCGCTTAAGATTCATGAGCTGTTGGACAAATTGAAAGAGGCAGAGAAAGTAAAGATGGAGGCTGAAGGTAAGATGGTGGAAAACAGGAGGCAGGTAGAAAGACTGGAGGAAGAAGTACGAGTTAATGAGATGAAGTCCAAGGAGAATGAAACAAAATTTGAGGCGTTGCTTACATCTTCGTCTGAGGAGAAGGCCAAGTTGAATGCAAAAGTGGAGGAGCAGTTCAGTACTCTGGAAAAGCTCCAGTTGAACCTGGCACTGAGAGAAAAGGAGGCAAGCAGTCTACAAAGACAGCTGCAGGATGTCCAACAATCTCTAGAGGAGAAAGAGCGAGAGTTAGAGGAGGTGAAGAGGGGGGCAAAGCAAGAAATGGAAGCGATGCAGAAGAATATTGACGACTTGAAGGAGTGTTTAGAGGGAAAGGTTGCTGAAATTACTGTACAGCTTACAAACAAAGAAGCAGAATTAAGCTCCAGCAGTGAGACACTACAGAAGCTTGAATCCAAGAACCAAATACTGACCACAGAAAGGGACGAACTGACCACTAGCCTCGATCAGCACAAGGCTAAGCTCAATGAACAGGCTGCCAAGATAGAAGACTACCAGACGCAGTGTGCCAGTTTACAGGAATTAAAAGAGAAGCTGCAGGCCACAGTGAGTAGAAACGAGGAGCAGCAAAATGAGATGACGGAGCACAGAGCAGCGCTGGAGGCTGAACTAGCAGCTCTAAGAGCTTCAGAGAAACAGCTCAGAGGCCAGATGGACGATGCCAAGATGACGGTGGATGAAAAGGAGAAAGTGCTGCGTGAGGAGAACCGCAGTCTGGATGAGAGTCTGCAGCGAGCCACAATGGCTGCGAAACAATCGGAGGTGACTTCGAAGCGGCTAGAGCAGGAGAACCAGACTCTGAGAGAGGAGCTGGATGATTTGAAAGAAACTCTTAGTCGCACAGAGACGGAGTTGAAGAACGCCCGCATTCACATCGAAGAACACAAAAAAAACCTAGAGGCTTCAAACACCAAATTAGTCAGCCTGCAAGAGCAGCTCAGCGCGAAAGAAGAACAGCTGGAGAATAAAGAAAAAGAAGTTGTTAAGTTGATGTCAACATTACAGGAGTTGGAGGCTAAGGAGAAGGACAATGAGATGGCCAAAGCCAACGCAGAAGCAACTTGTGCCAAACAGGCTGAACTGATTGAAAGGGTAACATCCGAGAAACGGGCAATAGAGACATTACAGCTAGAAAGGAGCTCAGTCCAAGCAAAGGAGAACCAGGAAGTTACTGCCCAGCTTACTGTGGTTGAGGGCCAGTTGGACATTAGCATGAAAGAGGTCTCTAGACTCCAGGGAGAGATCCTGGACCTGAAGGTGCAGGTGCAGAGATCTGAGGAGGAAAAGCTGAAATCCCATGCACAGCTCGAGGTTACAGAGGCCCAAAGAGACGAGCTGAGGTCTCTTACTGAGCAGCTTAAATCCCAAGTAGAGGCACTCAACCAGAAGCACGTAGCCGAACTCCTGGAGTGCAAAAAGAAAGAGGAGACTCTGGTTCAACAGCGCAATCGAGAAGCAGTGGCCCACGCCGAACTTGCCGTTTCTTCCTCTGCCGTCCGAGAAGAGCTGGCTGCTCTCAAAGCTGAAAACAACAAGCTGGCTTTAGAGAACACAGAGATCCGTGAGGGTTTGCACAGAGCAAACACCGAGATGGCAGAACTGGGGATGTCCATCTGCAAGCTGAATGCGGAAAGGGAAGAAGCCAGCGAACACTTGGCAGGGGACGCTGCCAAGATCGAAGAGTTGGAGAAGGAGGTGGAGCGGATCGAGGAGTGCATGAATGCCCTGCGGCAGGAGAACAACAGTTTGCGAGAGGAGCTGACGCAGAAGGAATCCCTCCCTAGGGCCATTACAGAGCTCCAGGAAGAGCTGGAAAAAGCCAAGAACCAAGTGAACAGCGTAAAGGAATGCTACCAAGAGGAGATGGATGCTGTGAAGTTTCAAATGAGCTCTGAGACCATGAGTCATCAGGCTCAAATAAAGGTGAGTTTAACCTGTAGCATCTTTAACATTTTTGTCCTATGTTCTCGAGAGCAACACACCACTCTGGTTGCAGATTCCCACGCTAGACCTTTGTAACACATGAACATGATTTGATGAAAACCATTTTACTGTAACTGGCTGAAAGTTGGAGCTAGAGCTCAACTTCACCTGAACCATGCACCATGCACATTTCCACTGAAAGCAGGCTGCTTTCTGGTTTTTACCCAACGCTGGCTTTCTTCTTGCCGCTCCTCCTCTTTTCTTACCTGAGCTATGGATGCTTGTGGCTCCTACAGAGTTAACTGGTTTCTTCTCTACCTAATTTTTCCCTGCCTGCTCTGTCATTTCCATTAATGTCTCAGTAAATTTAGAGTTGCAACAAACTTTTTCTGTTTTTCCATGCAGGATTAAATACTTGTCTGAGGTTCCACGTTAACTTTGGATTGCCATGTTGATTCTTTTTTAATTTGTAGCAATTTCTGAATTAAACAACACATGTACACGAAGTTTCTAATCAGGTTCTCCTGTGCTTTGTGTTTAGTTCTAATTATCTTTGGATTCTAAGCATGATGAATTGTTTTTAATTAGTGGAGGTGTTTTGAATTGTTAATAGCCCTTTCCCAGTTATAGCCTTTGGAGAAAGTAAGATTAATTATTTAATCCTCTTTTTTGGTAAATTCACAGCAGTAGTTAGCTTAGATGAGAGAAATTACCTCTCTTTATCTTTGCCTTCGTGTTGCATCTTCTTTGAACAAGGAATTAAGTTGCACAAAATGCTCCACAGAGGCTTTGGGAGATCGTTAGAAAATAAGTAAATGCATAAATAAATTTAGTGACAGAAAGTTTCACTTGGTTAAGAATACATGTCAGTTCTGTTAAGCCAGGTAGGAAGGTGTCAATGGAAACAAACGTAAAATGTTTTTCATTTAACTTTTGGTGGAATTGCTGTCTCGTAGCATCAGACTTTTAGATTTGAAGTCTTTCCCTTCTTTTTTGTTATTGCAGGCTGCGACTGAAAATTTGGAGAAGGTTTCAGCACAGCTGGAGGAGGAACAGAAGAACGTGTCCAGCTTGGAGGCAGAAGTGTCTGAACTCAAGGTTTCCATCTTTTTAGAAGTGAAAATAAATCTAGAATATGTTTATTTGTGGTTACTTTGTGAATGCTTTTTATGTCTCGTACCATCAACGATTGCTTTCGTAGACAGACACACATATGGCATATAATATCCAACAACTCTGATTGTTTACTGGCTGCTCAACAGGAACGGTATATGATTACAGGCAAGTTAGAGGAATGTTGGTGTGTTTCTTTTTTTTTAAATTTTTTTCCACAGGTAATGAGACCTCTTGATTATGTAAGCGTTTTATCTTCCTTTGATTGCAGAATGTTGGATGGATGTAGCCCTAATCAAGTGATTGGCTCTGTGAGATAATTCATCATGTTCGTCTGAGGTTTACCAAGCTTATAGACTTATGTTATAGAATTGAACTTTTAAAGGATGCTTATCTAAGTTTACAGTGATGTTAACATCCTCATGCCTTCTCGCAGCTAGGAAAACGCTGAAAGCTTTTTCTGCTTTGTTCATGTAAGCACAAACTTAGATTAAGCTAGGTGTCTCATCATTGTTTTCTGCGTATCTTTTCATAACGTGTACGAAAGGCTGCAAATGAGAAATACTTGCAGCTAATTGGCGAGAAAGATGCTTACATCACGCAGGTGGAGGCCACCATCCGCGAGAACGAAGGCAAAATTCAGCAACTCGGCAGCTCTACGGCCAGGTGCGGCTGCCATCCCCCCTCAGTGGGTGTAAATGTATGCTTTCATGGTAAAATTATAACTAACTTTCTTGTTTCTGCAGCATCGAAGAGGCACATTTGTCTATGCAAACTCTGTGTGAGGAACTGAAGCAGAAACTTGAAGCAACAGAGGCTGAGAAACAAAGTCAGTATCTGACAATGTCGGCAGAGATTGAAGACCTCAACAGCACAAAGATCAACCTGGAAGAGAGGCTCATTGAGCTTATTAAGTGAGACTTTTCTCTTTAACCATTCTGGAAATAATTGCCCTGTTTGAATTGATCTTTTTCTGTTGCCTGGTTACACCGTTTGTCCAAAGTGGTTCATCCGTTTAGAGCAACGGATCTCCAGCTCCAGCTCTCGACAGCCGCTGTCCTGCAGCTCTTCCTGCATCGTGGCACAATACTAGAGTGAAGATTTATCTTTATTACTCTCTCTATACAAGTTGACAAGATGAGATTAAGTCCTGTTTTATTATATTATAATTCAGCCTAATTTTTATTAGAAAAAACCCCAATTTGTATTAATAAACTCTGGCATGCGAATACATGAGATTATCGCCAAGTTGCTAATTTCTGTCTCTAGTCCCATCAGCAAGTTGATGTTAAAACACATAAAACAAGAATTAAAAATCACAAAATAACACTACAATAACCGCCATAATAACCATACATATTTATTTACATATTAACAATGTTGATATGTCAACTTTTAATATGAATAATATTAAAAGTTGACAGGTGAGATATCTATATATCTCACCTATGTAGATGAGCAGCTACTTTCTGGCTGCCATTTCTTGACTTCAAAACAAACATCTGCTCACTTTATTTCCCTGTTCTCATGTCTTGGCCATATTGAAGAGAAGAATTTTACCAACTTTATTATTTTATGCCAATAAAACATGCAGGTGGTATGTCTGCTGCTGGGTTGAGTCATAATAGATTAGATCATTCATTCTACTTATCAAAAGGGTGTTCAAATACTTTCCCCAGCTAGAAAAAATTAGGACACATGTTGGGTGGAAAAACTCCAGACTACCCCCGACTGTGACCTGAGCCATCAGATTCATTGCAGTTCATTTGTAAGCTGAATGATTTTACTTGATTTGACTTGATTTTACTGTGTATATATAGTTTTTCATATTGGTTTTGCTTTTTATACTGCTGTAACAATGTAAATTTCCCCACTGCGGGATTAATAAAGGAATATCTTATCTTATCTCCACGGATGAGCTGGCTCTGAGCAGCAGAAAGTGTTGTAATGTTTTACTTATTGTGATTTGGTGAGACAGACGGTGAGAGCCGATGCACGGAGAAAAACAATGAGAGATGTAACCAAAGGTTTATTCCTTAGGTGCACCTCTTGGATTCTTGAAAATAAGTTTGCGTTTACAGTAAAGTCAACAGGAAAGTAATCGTTTACAGGAAAGTAATCTGTTGGCACTATATTTAATTAACGTGTTCTACTAAATCCACCTTTTCCAGCTTTTAAAGCTCTTGTTCGTCGCTTGTTTTTTTATATTATTGGTCTCTGAAAATGCATTTTGTCTTTTTTTTTTATTTTTTTTTGTGAATTACGTCAGGGACAAAGATGCTCTGTGGCAGAAGTCAGATGCTCTGGAGTTTGAGCAGAAACTACGAGCTGAGGAGCGCTGGTGGTTGGTTGACAAGGAGGCCACACACTGCCTCGGCTGCAACGAGCAGTTCACCTGGTGGGTGCGCAGACATCACTGCAGGTGGGTTAGAGACGAGCGTCGGAGCTACTTTGCTGCCGAATTCAACTTTACACTGGACACAGCATCACAAATTCTGGTCTTTGCTTCCTATTTCTAGAGTTTGCGGCCGGATCTTCTGCTACGGCTGCAGCAACAACTTTGTCTTGACGAAACACAGTGGGAAGAAGGAGCGCTGCTGCAGCGACTGCTACGTGCAGCACAATGCGGTGGAGGAGAAGTTCATAGAGCCAGAGATGAGTTCTTCAGCTAGAGCCGGACCTCAGCCTCCGCCTGAGCCCGCTCCCCCCAAGTCGCCTTCCAGCGCAGCAGGTGAGAGACGTGTTTCAAAGAGAAACGCTTCTCTGTATTTATTTATTAACGTCACAAATCTACAATGTTTAAATAGTTTTGTTTTTTGGTCACTGGTAACTCGGTGTGGCAGCTGGAAAGTTTTTGGCAGAAGTGAAAGGACTGACTGATAGAGGAACAAGGATTGAGACCTAAGTCATAGAAATTCAACTTGGTACATAAAAAAATGGAAGGAAGTGACATTTGGATTGAAGCTTTTACTTTCTACCATTCGATTTACAAAAACCAAACACTGTAATTTAATATTCCAGTAACGTTTGTGATTGTATCTAATGTTCAAAAACAGGAAACATTATTTCAAATGTGTTCATTCTATATCTTCTGTGTAGTTATTTGTACAGGTGTGAAGGAAACAAAGTCCAAAACAACTGAAACCCTCACATGTAAATATGACAACATATGCATTAAAATTTGCACAGATTCAGATGTTTTTGCCTATTTTGGTTTATTTTTAAAACACATAATTGACGGAAGAAAAAATAGGTATTTTTGACATGTACATATATTTTTGTTTTTTGACTTCTGGTTGGTTCTAGGTTACATTTTACAGGTTCACAAATTATTTCCTTTACGTGAATAGCACATTTTAGGACTAAAACCTTTATCCAGAGGCATATATTTACACCTAGATATTTGTCCAGTTTTTACCAGAACTTGGCCGAATAAATGTCAACAAAAAGTTCATTTTAGAATTGAGATTTCCAAAAATAATAAATGCAAAAGTGAAACATAAAAGCCATTCTGTTGTTAAAGCCGTTAAAGCAGGTAACCTTTAAGTAATCAAAGCCTTTTAGCAAGAAAAGAAAACAAATACTTATTGTAAGCCAATAAGTAACTCTGTTTGTAATGTTATTTAATAATTTTGTTGCAAAGTATATAAATTAAACTTTCTCTTTGTACAAATTTGATCTTCCATCCAAACGATTGGTACGTAGGTGACAAACTGTAAACTAAATTATATGTTCATAAATTCAGATTTAATCTTCTGTTTACACAAGGTGACGACTTTTAAAAAAAAAAAAAATCTCTCTTTGCTCGGTTTATGCCTTACGCATGTCGAATTCATGACTTCTCCCCAGTTTCGGGCACCGGTATCAAATCTGATGATGGGGGCTATGACATCATCACAGAAGAGGAGGTGAACGGCGTCTACGACAGTGACAGCAACTCTCAGACCACAGGAGGTTCGCTGGAGGGAGAGCAAGACCGCCAGCAGCCAGGAGCTCGTGAAACGTGAGCGTAGCAAATTACCATATATGTTGCAATAAGTACATGATCAAGTACGTGAGTTTTTGATAAAATATTCAGTAATTTCACTGAAACCCAATGCAGAACTGCACTGCATTCTGGGGGGTGTAGGCAGAGGAAAGGCTTTAGCTGCTCGACCTCTCACAGCCAGCTGAGCAAGGCTGATGGCATCAACTAACTTACTTGCTCTTTGGTTACCTAGCAACGACCTGTTGAGTAACTTGTGGTTACCTAGCAACAATCTGTTTCAGATTTTGCCACCGTTTCTCATAACTGCTTAAATATTAAAAAAAAAAACAAAAAAAAAACAACGGTGTGGACTGAAATGAGGGCAACAGCTTGTGAGGAAATTGTGGATAAAACAGGAAATGTCACTTCACCAGTTCGGCAGTATTTCAGAAATTTAAATCAATATCAACTAATATGAAATGTTTGTATTGCGATGCACTTTTCAGCCATTTTGCCCAGGCCTTGGTGAAGCTGCCGTATAGTTTGGCAACTATTGTTGCCCCTAATGCAGCTGTATCTGGAAGGCCAGTGGGTCTTCCAGATGCCTGGACCCCACTGAGGGATCATCAAGAGTTTTCAAATAAAAATGCAGGATTGGTTTTTGCTGTCTCCCTTTTAGAATAATGCTGTCTGTAGCACCGTGCAAGATAAAAGAAAAGCATCGGTTCAAAAAACATGTAATTCAATTGGATGCATTATAATTATTAACTTTAATTAGGATTAATGGAGAGTTTGACATTCAGGCAAGAAAGAAAATTGATTAAACAGTGATGGTTGGTAGATGCATGTGGTAAAATACAAAGCAACTTCTCCTCAGTATTTAACCAGACAGAAGCAAGCATGTTTCAAAAGAGAGCAACGAATGAGAAACGGGAGGAACGTAGCTTTATGTTGAGAGAGCTCTTATGATGCAGGTTGGTCGTTTGTTTTAGCCTTGGTACTAATGGCTGCTCTTTCAGTATATTTGCCTTCTCTCTTCAGATAAGCCGTGCCCTTCTGTTTGTTTTGCTTTAGGGTTTTATAATGCTGCTCATCAGATTTGGTCACATACAGCCTGCGGTCTTTCAGTATGCTTTCCTAAATTTCTAAATTGCGTTATTAAACATCTGACAAGCACAAAATGTAGTTGTTACGATTTCAGCTGCAGAACTTCTCCTCTTTTCACTGGATTGCTTCCGTAATTTGGTCTTTAAATCTTAACTGCGGATCTTTAGAGCTGCAATTTAATTACTGTTTGAAGTTGTTTTTTTTTCTTTTACCGGGGATCAGCTTTTTATCTTTAAGCCTCCATGCAGAAGTAGGCTAAAACAAGGCATGTGGTGGTAGAAAGATTTGTTGTTGCTCATGTTAAGGGATTAGTTTTGCCTCACACACTGCCGAAGAAAAGCGATTCTCGGGCATCAGAGAAATTTACAATCATGTATTGTTAATCGTGGACTATATGCATCTCTGCAAATGTATATAATGGGACAAAAGTTAATATAAGAATTGTGATTTATTGTGACGGCAATAAACACTAATTGATGAGTGTTTGAAAATCCCCAAATCTGAAAGTGTAGCTGAAATTGAGGATTTTGCTCTTTGTCCTTTTTTGAACAAGATTTAAAACTTGCCAAAAAGAAAAAAAAAAGTTGGGCAAATCGTTTTCTTACAAGCTGCAAGGAAAATTATTAAATGGCCTAATCTAAATATGGCACAAAATAAAGAGAGGGAGATGCAACCAAAATGAGCACCACTTTTGTGATCTGTCAACTTTTTCATCACCACACAGCTACCAAAGAAGGCATAGAGCTGCCTTTAGTCATGTGGGACTTGTTGCCGTTTCAACTCTTGCGTTACGAGTCTTTGTTGGCCTGAGGTTCTGGCAGCCATCTGTCGGCCTGGGTGGTGGGTAAGTATCGGCGCTAATTATTGTGCAGCTCCAGCACTGTTTCTTCTGGCACTGATGTTGGATGTCTGGATGGCCTCAATTATCGATCAAAATGGAACCTGGTTGCTAAAACAAAGGGGGATGCACAATAAAGAAACTTAATAGGTCATGCTAAGCATGCATCCATAACTTATAGAGGAAAAATGTAGGGATTTCACAAAAACATAAAAAAGAGAGAAATGTATAATGGGAACAAATAGAATCTGTAACGCAGTCAAACTTTTGATCAGCATACAGATTCACTTCCAGGTTAGATTTGACACAGGGATGTTTTTCTTTGTGCATCAGAGCTTTTATATGATGAGGTATTAGGGTAACGTTTTGCAAAAATTACCAGAAGAAAATTCCAGTATTATGAAAATAACATCATAATATTACGTTGTTCTCGAGATATTATGACTTTATTCTTGTATTATCTTGACTTTATTTTTGTACTTCATTCTTATAATTTTATTCCTTTATTCTCATATTTTTATTTATCTGTTCTTAGTATGTCCCTAATACTCCGTTGTACTTTTAAGGTTCATAAATGTATATTAAATATTTCACATTAGCCATAACTGTACTGCGACTCATTTTGAGTCCACATCCAAGCATCGGTCTATAAGTTCAAGCATGTAAGCACTTCAATTAGTAAAATACTGCAGTCACATTCAAAGTTTGTCTCAATCAGCAGCACTCGTTTAGATTAACCATTAATTTAGTTACTTCAAAGCCGACTGACTTTCTGAGTGAAAGAATTTATTAACAACCACCATAAAACTATTTGCTCAGTCCCGTTTAATTGAAACTGTCACACTTGCCGTCAGCCGCTCAGATGGAAATCTCAACCCAGCCAGGCCTGTGAGCTCTGCATGTCTAAGATCCCAGGCTGCTTCCTGCATGGATAAGTTTTGCTTTGACTTGATTTATGATCCGATGAGTCCATTCCAAGAAAAAAAGTGTGAAACATCGGCGTAAAATCTCAGACAGCTGACTCGAGTTAATGTGACCTAACCAGCAGAATTACACTTTGCAAAATGATACATCATCGAGCCAGGTCTCGGTTGGCTATCTGCCACTTTTGGGCCCGGTGCCGACCCAGCATGCCGCCGGACCGGGGCTGAACGGTGCAGATAAAACACGGCGCAGTTGGTTGGTTTTCCAATCTGTTTGTTTGCCGCTTCCTGGTCTGGGTCAGATGAAGCCCACAGAGAGACACTGCAGCATTAATTATCTCCAAGAAGGTGGCTTTTAATTAGCGTTATCAACAATGCATCCTCTGTTTTTATCAGGCTGAATCAAAACAAGCAGACTGTTCTCCATCACTGCCGTTTGCTCTCCTGTTGTAAGCAAGACGTCAGCCAGCTTGTTGCTTGTTTGATTACGAGAAGCCTCTGGAGAACATTAGGGATCTCGAGGGGGTTTTTAATATGCTTTCCTCTTTCTACAGCCTGCTGTGTTACATTGTAATTGGAAATCTTCGTTCTCGTTTTTACTTTACGAATAAAAATAGGCTGAATTTCGGGAAATGAGAAGTACTCGGTCGCAGTTCGTTTGTCTCACGTTGTAAACAGTTAGTATAGGAACTTCTTTCTGTGGAAGTATAGCTTCTCTAACCATTGCGAAACATTTATGGAACAAAGACGTGGTGGTGTTCTCCACTTCGTCCATGTAGTATTTTCATCACAATGTGTGCTTCATGCTTGAAGCTACACAATCATATTTCCTTCTGATAATAGGAAGTTTCAACAAGCACCTGGTAAACGGAGCCCTGTGTGTCACTTTGAAGAGATGTGAGGAATAATTTGCAGAAATGAGACATGGTTGACTAATTTTTATATTTCTTCATACTTAACACTATTTTGACTTTGTTGCCTCTCAGGTTTTGCATTTGTAGAATAATTACAGTAGCAGAATACATTGTTACACATTTAAATGTTTCATTTGATTTGTTCTGGGTTTTTTTTTTTAATGATTTTCTATTTCAGGGTAGAATGACTAAGACAACCAGCAACTTCAGTGATTCACAAAATTAAGCACACAAATCTGAATTCCTTGTGGATTTTCATTTATCCACAAGAGATTAAAAATACACTGCTCAAAAAAATAAAGGGAACACTCAAATAACACATCCTAGATCTGAATGAATGAAATATTCTCATTGAATACTTTGTTCTGTACAAAGTTGAATGTGCTGACAACAAAATCACACAAAAATCATCAATGGAAATCAAATTTATTAACCAATGGAGGCCTGGATTTGGAGCCACACACAAAATTAAAGTGAAATGTTCCCTTTATTTTTTTGAGCAGTATATATGTGGTGGCTAAGATATACGGTTATTTCGGTAAATGTGTATATCGATATATTTGAGACTGTATGTACAATTTTGACCCTGTTGGAATGAAAGAAAATCCACAATAATTCCTGTGTTGCGCCAAGTTTTAGGTTTTGAAAAATCATAGCTTTGCTTAGTTTTTTTTGTCACTCCATTTAAAAAAAAAAATAGAGTTCAACAAAAGTATTCAAAGGCCAAAATGCTTTTCTGGCCTTTGAGAAGTATTGCCTATGGTTAGGCAAAAAAAAATAAATAAATAAATAATTGGTTAGTTTATGTACATTTTTGAAAAGCAAAAATAAATAGAACACACCTGTCTGCAAGAATGAAAGTAACTAAGCCTAAAGGTTATGTCTGTTATCTTCATGTTTAAATAAAAACCTAATTGCCCTAAAATATGCAAAAAATGTTCCAGCTGCTGATTAAGATGCACAGGCACCGATCTGTGGATTTATTCATTGTGCAATTTAAATTCATAGTCATGACGCTTATCCCTAAGTTATTTCTTTAAAACAGGCTGCTGATGGCAGCAGTGACTCGTGGCTGGAGGATGTAACGTTGCTCTATTTCTGTCCTCTCTTGGCAGTGGCCCCGGCGAGGTGGCCCCCGACGACGACAGCGTCCCCCCCGTCCAGGACTCAGAGATTAACCTCCTCAGATCAGGAGACGTCACGTGTGTATTAACGTTTGACATGTTTCACACTTGAGTCATTGTGAAGTTACGTTTTGTTAACTGGTCTTAAAATTGTGAACTCTTGCAGACTCGCTGTCCCTCTCAGCGTCGAGGACATTTCCCAGTTTGGTGACGGCTCCAGGGAGCTCTTCATCAAGTCCAGCTGCTACAGCACCATTAACATAACCGTGGCAGATTGTGAGGCAACCATCGGCTGGATGTTCTCCTCTGAGCCCAAGAGCATCTCTTTAGGCGTGGTTTACCGGGAGTCCAGTGACAGTGAAGTGGAGCAGGCGAAGGTAGACGTGTGCCTATTGTGCGGCGCTTTATCTTAGTGGGCGGCGGATTTGAGGAACCGCTCGTTTTACTCTGGCACGGGCTGTTGAAAAGTGCAGCACAGACGACTGAGCTGCGTTGACATCTCTCGGCGTCGTTCACAGCAATCTTCTTCCAGCACAGAAAGAGTAATTGTCAGAGGCAGAGATGTTACATCATCTTTTAAGTGAATAAAACACTCTCTTCTATTGTTGGGAAGATTGAAAGGCAGCGAACTCACACAGGATCTTTTGAAAAATGGAAGTTATTTACAGAAACTCCTGACTGAAAATGAGAGCACCTCCTACAGAGACTGCAGTAATTTTGCTTTCAGAGGCGTGCGGGCTGAGGTAGAGAGAGTCAGACTGATGTGGACGATATGCATAAAAATTTCAGATGGTTTTAGAATTATTATTGATATTATTTCTCACTTTAACAAAGCCCCAAGCATCTCACTTGCTGGCAATATTTTCTGTGGTGTAACTTTATTATTCTAATTTGTTACAAAATTTTCAAGATTTAGTTATTATTGTTATCATGTTTTGTAGGAGCATGTTTGGGAAAAATATTTGCCCACCACAACTGAGATTTGTGGCGTTTCTGTTCCTCTCTCAGGTTCTGATTCCTCTGACTCGCTGCAATTCCCATAAAGAGACAATTCAGGGACAAGTGAAAGCTCGGCACCCTGGCCTCTACACACTCATCTTTGACAACTCCTTCTCCAGGTATGGAGCTGGTGTCGACCCAAAAATATTTCTTATCGTGTAAACTGGAACGAAACATTTTCTTTCTTTTTTTTTTTTTTTTGACCCGATCAAGAAGTATGGAAGCCCATTTCCGCCACTCTGTTAAAAAAATAAAAAAATAATTATCTCATTATAATGAGATACTATCTCATTATGATAGTATATAATAATGATAGTATCTCTCATTATTATGAGATAGTATCTCTCATTATTATGAGATAGTATCTCTCATTATAATGAGATAATTATTTTTTTATTTTTTTAACAGAGTGGCGGAAATGGGCTTCCATAAAGACGTATAGCTCGTGTGATATTTCCTCATCCACCTGTCGCTATTCGACTCTAATATTTAGACTCTAACTTACTGTCCATGTCTTCATGGACTGATGTGAGCCTTCTGTACTTGCTGCTGACCTCTTACATCGCGCAGTGTGACAGAAGTTGCTGTCATATTGTGACACATTCAAATCCTGTAGGATTTCTGAGCTCCTACACTGTGTCCCAGGCTGAGCTCACATCTGATACGACCAAAACATTTATCGTACTGGGTGAAGTTAACATTTTAACAAACTCCATAATTATTGTCTGTGATGGTTTAACAGAAATGGTGTTTTTTTTTTTTGGTTTTTTTTTTTCTGACCTCACACCAGTTGAGATGCCTCGCTTTTCATACCACAGCAGCTAATTACCTTTTAAACAACAACAACTCCTTTTTTCCATCAGGTTTATCTCCAAGAAAGTTTTTTACCATCTGACCCTGGAGAAGCCCATAATCTATGATGGAAGTGATGGACCCTGAAGCTTTGTGACTCTCGCACAGGTGAACCTGCAGCTTCTGTGGGTGGCAACTAAAGGGAAACTGACAAGATATCAATGCAGTGACTTCATTTTATTTTCTTTTTATATTATAAACCAAGTATCTTCATACATTTTTATTCTTGAATTATTTTTTTGTTTTTTTGGGGTTGTTTTAAGGGTGGGCCTAGTAAGTCTTCAAAAAAAAAGGCTAAATGACTTTAAAGAAAATATCTATGCACGTTTTTGGATGTTTTTCTTCATTTCACTCACCAAGTAAAACATAAACATTAGTTTGTTTAGGTATTGCTGTATTTTGTCTGTTTGATTTCAATGCACACTGTTGTTATTTGTCTTTTCATGTTTTAACACTAGTGGCGCAATATCAGATCTAAAAAAAATGCACAGAAAGATTTTAGCACGTAGATTTCCATAAGGTGGACATTTTTATCGATAAATGAAGCTTTTATAATCAAATTGCACAAACCAGCACAAGTTCATACAATGATGTCATGTTGAAACAGTTTGTTTGGATGTTACATTTGCACTCTCACTGTGGGATCGAGCGGTGATGAGGGTTTGGGAAAAGCACAGGTTTTTTTTTTTTTTTTTTTTTTTTTCCAAAAAAACCACGGAGCTTGCACTCTTTTTATGATTGTTATACATTTGTTCTCCAGTATCCCATTTATAGGGCCTCATAAACTTCAGATTTCCTGAAGTTTATGAGGTCATTAAAGTAACTTTCCTGTGACTATCAGCTAAAAAGTTCCTACTCCTTCAAAGTGCCTCTTCATCATCACTGCCATGGCTATGTGTTTTTAATTTTTATGTTTCACTTTCTACTTTTTATTTAAAATTTCTGTGTTATTTCTGTCAGTTAAAGCGTGTTTTTTCCTCTTCAGACTTTGCGTGATGCAAAATAATTTTAATTTGTCCGAGCAGACCGTTAAGGAAGACAATCACTTCTTCTTTTATTTTTGCACAACCCCACTCTACCCAGCGAACCAAGTTTGTAAAGGGCTGTTTCAATCAAGTATGTTTCGTGAAAGTTAGATTTTTGTTTCTATTTTTAAGGGTTGTGGACTGGTGTAAAATCCTATGCAAAACCTCAACTACCTACAAATCTTTTTTTGTTTTTTTCTAAATTTTAAATCAGTTAAGATTTAGATTTTCTTTATCAATAACTTGCAGAGAGGAATTTTCTATTTTTCCTTTGTAAGTCTATTTTCAGAGCAATACAATTTTGCTTAAATCGTCTTAACAGCCGTGTGCGGGAAGCAAACAACTGTTAAAAAAATAAAATAAAATAAAATGTGTGATTATTCTCATTGTGTCTTTCATTAAATAATTGAAATTTGCTATATTCTATTATTTGATTGTTGTTTTTTGTCTAATAGTTTCATATACACCAAAAAGTTTTTTTTTTTACATAGAGATTCATTTGCCTCATAATTTTCTAGATAAATATGCAGTGCCTTGCAAAAGTATTCATATCTCTTTATTTTCTCTTTGCTTCGATGAACTTAATTGTATCTTACTAAGATTTTATTTAGATTTTACCTCTAAATAAAATCTGCTAGCCTTTAGAAGTGACCTAATCAGTCCAACCAAAGCAATCCTGATCTCGAAGACCCCTGGTTCATGTCAAGGGATATTCATGTGCAAGAATGGCCCAGTCAAAGTCCAGACCTTAGTCCAGTGGTGTCCAAAGTCCGGTAGATCTGTCCCTGGTTTAACACAGTTACTACCAGCGTGTTTGTTGATCCAGGGGGAGAACTGACACATGTAGGACAGCTGGAGGACTGAGTTTGGACAGTGCTGCCTTAGTCCTGCTTACAATACATGTAGACTTAGCTTTTGCTGTTTTGCCAGCTTGAATGTGCTTATTTTACACTCTGGAAGTATAAAAATGGTAGAGACATATACCAAAATACCTGCAGCTGCAGCGAAATATGGTTCAGAGTGTTGAATACAAACTTGTTCTTGTATAGTTATTTTCCTTCCACTTAATAGTTTGCGCAAATTTATTAGCCTATCATATAGAACCCCATTAATCGCACTAAGCTTAAGGTCGCAGCGGGGAAATTACTGCAATGTATTTTGGTGTGAGTTTGGCGACACAACGTGGACTGTCAAATCAGTCTCTAGCCATCTCAGAGTGTCTGACTTCAAAATAAAACCCTTCATTGCTGATTCAGATGTCTATACACTTAATTTAATACCGTGCACAAACGATTTGGGGAGGGCTGCGTGCAGTTTGCAGGTATTGGGATGTGAAAGGAGTTCTTCATCTTCACGACGTCCCGCACTTTGTGCCTAAGGCTTTTATTGTGGAAATGAGTGAACTATCACCTGGAGAGAGCGCGGCGCGGCGCGGCTCAGCATCCCATCCAGCTGGAGTGAGTCTCAGGAAAGCGCTGCGTTTGGACTGTTGGAGGAGGAGCAGACGACATGTTCCGTCCCGATACCAGAGGGATCTTTCTTTCTCTGTGTCTTACTCGAGTGGTGAGTCATTTGAATATTGTTGCATGTATTAACACAAAAGGAAATAGAAAAAGTACTGATGAAAACTTCACGTTGCCTTCAAGGCGGAAAATCTCTTCCATACGGGATAAGCTATTGTCCTGGTCTTCTGCGTTTTATTGTCTCAGTTTAGACACACGTGGACCTTCCTGCACGCGCTATAGCCTTTCTATGGAGGCAGCTCTTTGTCTCATTCAGTCCGTCTTGGAATAATTTATTGCACGCATGACGCATGCAAATCATTTCAAAGATGATTGTAAACTTAAAAGATAACTCAAGCAAGTTCAATTATGCGCATTAAATCAGCACTTGTCATAATTAATTTGCATTGCATGGTCTTTACTTCTTTTTTTCATACACGATATAAAATAGGACTTATAAATGAAAAGTTTCAGACATATAGTGAAGTCAGTGCAGAATCCTATTTTGGGGTTAAAACTTGAAGGTGACTTGAGGAAATGCCTTGTTAGTAGCAGAAATCTCTTAATAGGGTATCAGGTTGTATGAGCATGTGACTTGTGTTTTATGGTACATTAAATGAGATGCAGACATGCACAACATCACTTCATGTTTCAAATGAACCCTGAAAGTGTCACTCTGGTTGGAAAGCTGATTACCATATCCAAGAAACCAGTTTGAGTATATTTTTGCCATCTTGCCCTATTTTTCATGCGTGTGTTTGGGTGGAATTGTACTTGGGTGTCAAGCGAGATTGGATAGGATGTGTAACATGAGTTTTGAAATCCGTGACCTTCAGAGTCGTAGCCCAGCAGATGCTACAAACTGGTTCATGCCTGATGTAAAGAATTGCTCAGTAACAAGCTCTCTGCAGAACCTGGCTGGTCACACAAACATGTGTTGGTCCAAACCTTTGATCCACTGTTTTCTGTTTGTCTTCTAAAAAAAAAAAAAATTGGTTCAATGTCGGGGTCCTCTCTGTTGCTGGAGCTACGTCGTTCCTTTCACACACAGCATGACCAGATGACTGCTCACACTGAGCAAGTTAAGTGAGTTCTTCCTCTCCACTGTCAGGCTGGTTAGTGTTAATCGATTTGATCTGAAAGGAATTTGGACTGAATTTGGTTCTACGTAGACTTGAATCAAACCGGTTTGTGTTGCAAAATGATTTAAGATGCTAATTGTTTTGAACTGATTGCTCAATGAATGAACTCTACTGAGCTGAATGTTCAGGTAGAATAAAAAAACTGAGAGCACCCTAATACATGGGACCTACAGCAGGATCTTGCAGCTGTTGATCTGACATGGTCCTAGTCAAAACCCTGAATTTGTTTCAAGGAGAGGCTGCTGTGGCAGGGAACCCCTCAGATATCTGACAGCTGACTACAAGAATTGAAGTCATCTCAACCAAAGGAGGGGAGACTTGGTTTAGGGTATAGGATGTCCTAAGTTTTCCTCTACAAAAAAAAGCCATATTTTTATTGTTGCATTTTGCTAAATGAATCAAACAACCTTAATTCAGATCAACTGCAAATCATTTGCTTTCGTAAGAGTTGGATGCATTTAAACAAAAATTGGTTTAATGCCATTTTGTAAAATTTTAACAAAATGTGAAGTATTCGCTTCACCTTTTTTTGAGGGCGTCTCCAAAATTAAACCGAACTGCTTTCCTCTCACAGGAACATTTATTCATTAGAAAAAGTCATTTTGTTCAGACTCAGGGTAATTTTTCACAAACTGAGATTTTCAGACCACAGCTCTTACATAAATTAATGAATAAGGAAAAAAAACAAAAACATATTTAATCTTTTTTTTTTTTAATCTGTGTTGCTCTCGGTGCAAATAAACAACCCGTTATAACCTCCTCACTTATTTGCTACAAGTTTCTAAAGAATTACTTTTTGCAATGAAAACAAACCGATGGCTGCACTTGCTGTATCAATTTGCCTGTCTGCTTGCCCTATCCGTTCAGCTGTGCAAAAAGCGCAGCGTGCAGGAAGCAAACTTGGCCACGTGTCTCACACAGACAGTTTATCGTGTCACATTCACATGCACACACAACAGCTTTGTGGGCGCCATTATTCCGACGCCACCTCGCTAATTTCCTGGCTGAATAGAAATGTGAAAAGCAGGGAACACTGGTTGGTGTGATGATCTGCTTGGCACAGAGATAATGGGAGCGGGGCGCACACTCATCTCCGTTCTCTTTTACCGCTCAGAGGATTGCAGTGACCAGAAACGCTTGTTTCCAAGGAAGGTGAAGTGAAGATAAACAAAAGCAAAATCAGTAACCGCTCTCTCCCTCTCTCTCTCTCATACGCCAGTTGTTCAAATGCGATTAAAACATTGCACTTTAGCCAGCCCCTGGGAGAAAAAAAAACCCCAAGAGATTATCTGTTTTCAGCTGCAGGAGGGGCGGAAAAACTTTAAGACATCCAGCTTCTTATCAGCTTAGTCCGAGTCATTCCGCAAGGAGACAAACTATAGGTGACAAACTTGTTAGTGACTCAGACGAAAAACCGTTAACGGATGAACTTTTGACAGACGACGTGGAATAACTTTTAAGTACAGTAGGTTGCAAAAAAATAATGATTTAGATGAGTTCTCCTCTGAGACGCCGTTTTGAGCTCATCTAACTCCTGGCAACAAAGCTAATAAACTTATTTGCATCATAGGTCAAAATATTCCCCCTGTGTGCTCACAATCTGAACTTCAGAGGCTGACCTTGTTTGTTCACTCTCTCTGATTGAAAGAACATACTTTTTTATATATTTTTGTGTGCCAGAGTGTAGTAGTGCACCTGATTCGCTGTTGGAAACAGAGGGTAGCGCCTGCAAAGCGGGCCCGGTGCTTTTTAGGTAGTTATAGTGGATAATGGGTTTCACCTCACTAGGAATATGTTCTTTTTTTTTTTGTTTGTTTTTTTCATCACTGGCCTGGCAGAATAAAGGGGGTCTTTGGCCTTGCATTTAGTTTCAGTGCTCACATTATACAGATTTACGTTACACAGACCCCCTAATCTCTCCTTCTCCAACCTCTGTTTCTGTCCTTCAAATGCAGCACAGTGTCTCCCTTCATCACATCACTCTGCTGAAACAGGGGAGAACAACGCGTGCCCTTGGAGCTTTGCAGCGACCCAGTCTTGACTCACTTTATCCCCCCCCACCACCACCACCACCACCACCACAATATTGAGCATCGGTCTCATATCTCCGGATCCATCGTTGCACAGGATGTCGTCACAGCGTTCCCTCGTGTGAAAACAACACTTATCTGACCCGTGGGGGTATCCATCTGTCTGCTTCCTTACTCCCAAGTAGTCTGGATTGCGTTTTGATTGCACATATTTACAACGGTGAGAGTGAATGAAGTTGCCCTAACGTGCAAAACAAACTGAAATCAGATAAAATACATCAAAGATATATATAAATATACAAACACACAACAGTGGCCTGAAGATCCCCAGAAGGAATCAGAAACTTGAGTGGATTCCAGGAAACAACCCAAAGATGGAAAACTCTTTTAGTTAAATATGTTTTCAATATGGGACATTTTGCTGTGTTTATGTTTTTTTAATGTGTTCTGAACCGACACACGTTTGTTTTTGTTTTTTGTTGAGTCTTCTGTTTTGCGGTTATTTTTGTGACCGAAGGGGAGAAAACAGCAGCACAGTCAGTCACACTGAGCTGAACGCCAGAGGTTTCTGTGGAAGGAAAATCTTATGCAGACATGAACCAGCATTTATACACCATCAGGTGGACAATATGAATCATATTTGGTGGTTTAAAGGGTCTTGATAGATGTTAAATAACTGTCTTATTTTCAAAATATTAAAATTAATGTCGGCGCATTACGTTTTTTTAATTTAATTGTATGTTATTTTGTGTTTTACCTAAATAATTCACAAATTAGTCACAGGGGTTTGTCAATTGTTTAACTCTTTAGGTTAAACAGATTTTGACTTCCTCACAGGTACATTTGGGCCACTTTTAGTGTAACAGTTCTTCCACATTTTACTCATTTTAATTGTTGCTCTGGCTGTGATATGGACATATTTATGTAGGTATTTATTGTATTGTAGCTACAAACTCATCACACATCAGCTTCTGTATTTATTGAGGCATCACTTAAACTGCTTGGACAAGGATCATAAAATAAAAACACCAGACGACATATGACGATTATTTCCATCAGTGAAGTTGCCCATGCATTTTGTTAGACGGTGTTGGAAAAATTTTAAAGTTTAAAAGTTTTATGTTATAAAACAGGAAGCGCCAGGTCTGACCTTCATATCTGCATGACTAACTAACTTTAGCAACAGAATATTAAAATCCTCGTCCTTCTCATTTTTTCAGTAAATACAATTTATGCAAATGAAGTGTTGAGCTGGTCTGTTTTTTTTTCATCCCCATTGTAACTTTATTTGGATTTAAACGATAACTACAGATTGCTACTGCGCGTGTACTTTGATTGAGACAGCATTTAACAAGTTCTTTAAAAAGAACTAACTCTTTTGAAAAATATTTTCAAATGCACAGACTTTAAAAAGAAACAACTGATGGTTCTTTTAAATAAATTAAACCAAGTGACTAAAGAGAAGATGATTTATTTTCTGCCTTGGCAAGCAGCTCACAGCGATGACTGTCGGAGCCATTGCCGATGACAAATCAGCCTGAAGAGTGACAAACAATCCATGGGGTGAAGAGTCGGAGCTGAAGTGAGTTTGTAAATGTCAGCATAATCCAACACTGATAGAAAACATACATGTTGAATGCTCTGATACTCCATTAAAAAAAAAAAAAACAGAGAAAGAAAAATAGAACCAAATTTACAAAACCAGAAAATGTGAATCCCGCACATTATACGGCATGTCTCTGAATTGGTTTACGCAGGCTCTGCAGGAGGCAGAATAAACTTTAGTTATCCTTTGCCTGCCTTTGAACTGGAAGAGCAGAAACAACGGGGTAAATTGCACAACCACATCTCTCATTATATTGTTAGTGCGACATTAGGAAGAAAGAGAGTTTGCGAGGTCTCCCAACGTTTTCATTCATCAGTGGCGAGGGCAGGCGCGGTGCTGATGATGAGACGGTTGCGTGTTTGTTTCCAATTTGAGGGAATGAGGAAAACATTTCTCTGCCGGCAGGGGTTTGTGCAGTCCCAACAGGCTTCCCAAAAGATGTTACTTCCTGTCGCTGTTTTTGACATGAAAAGGTGTCGGTAATCTTGCACAAATGCAGGCCCTGGTTTGTCTCTAACCGGGACATTTTTTGGTGCACGCGTGGACGTGCCTATGCGAGCGATATTGACATGAAAAGTTATTTTCCAGGATGTTATGTTCGCGTTTGGCCACATCACAACTTCAATGTGTTTCGCTGGGATTTTCTTCAACCAAAACAAATTGGCATATATGTAAAGATTTTGCTACAAATAGAAATATAGAAAAAGCATTTGCATTCAACCACCTTCATTCAGCCCCAAAGACGAGCATGTTTAAAACCTGCTCATGGGTTGTTATTTTCAAAAGGTGCTGTCAATCTGAGAAACAAGTCATCAGGACATATATTCCAATTTTCTGAGTAAGTGTATTAGTGTGTATAAATGGCCCAGTCAAAGTCCGTGAATCTTCACACAGAGCGATTGATCTTTCTATCAGAAATAGTTACAGCACCCATCAAGGTCACCGTACGGGACAGCAGCGCTAAGAAAGATGACGACTGGGGAATAATCTCTGTGACGTCCCCCAGCAACGTGGCGTCTGATTTGGTTCGTCAAGAGTTTGTCAGAAACGCGCCACGCAGACGCATCTTGTTTTCCCTTCAGGGCTTTTTTAACTAAGACGGAAATGACCCGAAACAAGGACGCCGTCGAATCAACATGCGTATCAGAAACGGAGCTGGTTCCACTGGTGCTCTGTCTGGTGTCCTGCCTCGCCCCGCTACCGTCCACCGGGTGCAAATCTCTTTCAGACTAAAAGGGGACGGAGGGGGGCCCCGAATCGGCAGCCTCAAAATTACACAGCGTGAAAACGACAAAATGCAAAACGTTCCTTCCTCATAAAGCAATTTTGGCAGCAGACAGCCACATGATCGTCATGTCATGATTTTCCTAATTACACGCTGTCACAGCTATTTGAACCGCTCTGAAATCTGCTGTACACGGAAACTCATACCTTTAGATGTCTGATTTATTCCTCACATTTAATCTTTATTGCCATTGACAAAACGCTAACACCTCGGAGTTCAAATTTACGCTTACAAATATCTGCTTTTATTTCTGTTTAGAAAAAAAGATGCCCCAGACGATAAAACCATCCGAACAGATTTAGGTCCCCATAACACCAGATAACCACAAACACATATAAACATCATAATTTTGTGCTTTATGATGTCTCTGAAAGGATGGGGAAAAAAAAAAAAAAAACGTAAGAGGAAGACCCCACCACTCTGTGGAGAATTTTCATCAGTCGCCCCAGTGTTGCAATATCCTGTCGTAGTGAACAAAACAAGACCCGGCTCTCTGCTCTGACCTTTAGATTGAGACCACTTAAGTTCACCGGCAGAATGAATAGTAAAAAACAAAAAAAAAAGAAAAGACGGAGGAGTCCTGATTTTACCCATTGTGGTAGAACAACTCCAGCACCGTTACACTCATAAGCAGGCGTCTTAGTTTGCACCACTTTCCTTTTTAGGTTATTTTTGCCTCTATTTTTTTATGATCCAAACATTTAAAATTTGATGAAAAACAACAGTTTTGCCAAACAGTCATTATGTGTTTATAGGACAAACAGGGTGCAATATTTTAACACTGTGATATATGATGTTATTCCCAGATAAATCTTTCTGGGGACGTTCACAGAACCGACCTTCTATGAAGACTTCAGACTCTTCCTCCCGATCTCATTAACTTAGTATTTCAAAAGACAGATGATGCATTTTTAAATTGGGGCCAAAGTAATATTGGAGCAGGAGCCAAGTTGTTCACGCCATTCTCTTCACATCTCAACACGTTGACTATTTCCATAAATGTTTTATGTACAGCCTGCGCTAACAAGGGGAGACAGCGCATTGACCATTACTAAAAACATCAATTTTTAACTTCTGCACTGGACGTCCTTTTCAAGGTCAAAATCCTACATCTCCCTATACAGAACACTAAATCTTCTTTTTTTTTTTTTTTTACTTTGAATCTTTGGATTTCTGTGCCCATAATAACCATGTTTGCATATTCTGATTCCATTCAGTGTCTCTTTACAGACGCATCCTTCCTCTGAAGTGTCATTAACTTCTGCAAATTGACAGAGCAGTCGAATGCAAATTTAGTTCTTTTTTTTATTTTTTTAATATTATTGCTGTTGTTTGTTGTTTGAAAGTGTAAACAACCTGATGGACTTCTGAGCAACATTAGAGGGATTTTGCACTGTGTTGCTGGAAGCAAAGATTATCATCTGTGTCCTTAGGGACAACCTCTTTAAATGAATCACTCTAACTCCCCCCTTCTGGGCGCTACGATGAACGATTATTGTGCTTAATGTCACTGACGGAAATAGGTGAGTTTTACCAAAAGGGTAGTGTTTCAGAGGGAGACCAAAATGAGTCACTGCCCTTTCAGAGGCTCTTTTTTTTAAAAATTATTTTTAAACACATGGAAGGCTTTTGGATCGCTTCAGAAGGCAAAGTAATGCCACCTGTTTATATAAATATTCACTTTTTGATGTCTAAGCTTATTTTTTATTCGTCAATGGAAAAGAAAGTGATTTAATTGCACTTAAACAACAAGAAACACTCATTAGAACCAAACAAAAAGGTGTTTTCTATCTGAGGACATTGTTAGGACACCATAACGCCACAAAGCTAGCTTCATCCCTTTGGCTCAGATAACTTCAGAGCAGTTCTTACGTGCTTTCTGTTGGTGATCCTTCCTTTTCTTTATTCTCAGCCCATCCTTTGTGGATTTACTGGTTGGTTGCAGGATCCAGTTCTGCTCTTGTTTTACTTTTATAGATCCTCTCACATCTTTTTCTTTTTTTTTTTTTTTCTTTTACCTTATGGTAGGCCTGATAAATTCTATAATGGTGAGCCGGTCGTTGTTCTGCTGCAGCAAAAGCAAAACATCCCCAAAACCGTCACACCTCTTCCTCCGTGCGTCACAGTTTGCATGAGGGTTTGTTGCCTGAATCCCATATTTGATTAAAACCAGACATGCCATCTGCTCTTGTGGCCAGAAAATAAATAATTCCAGACTCATCGGTCCAACGACAGATATTCCAAAAGTCCTGGTCTATATATCTGTGTTTTAAATTGCAACACATCTTTGATTGTCCTCTGGTGCAGATGGAGACTGACTGCTTTGAAATCTTTTTGAGATCTATTGAAATCCACATGAACTTCTACTCTCTTTTTTCTGATGACTTCAGCTTTTAGGATCTCACCAAAGAGGATTTACTCTCACTTCTACAGTGAGAGGTTCGCCAAGCTAAACCTCTGAGATTTAAGCAGGACAAATCTCTTCATTTGCTGAGCAGCGATGTTTTCATATCGTTCACCTGATGTGACAGGCGGTTTTTTGCCATACAGTGGAAATGAATGTCAGGGGGGGTAGGGTGACTTAATTCGTTCCTCAACAGAAATATCATTTTTTGGAAATAGGTTTTTATAAAAACACACTTGCGATCAATCACGAAAGGTAGATCGTGTCAGTTGAGTCTGTCAGCATTGATACGAGCATTCATAATTATTTCTCCACATCCCCGCATCTCTGCATATGTTGAATATATCCTCCCTTGCTTTCCTGCCTCCAGGCTTTGTCCCTTTTGCACCCGGAGTGTGAGTTCTACTTTCAGCTGGAGAAAGAGGAGCGGCTCTGCCTGCAGTACATCGCCGAGCAGGAAAACAGAAGCACGGAAGGTGTGTGCTTTTTCACTTTTTAAAAACAAGCAGCGCCTGCAGAAGCGGCTCATGAATCGAAAAGTGGGCTGCGTGTGATATGAAATATACAGCAGGTGGTCACTGTTCACATTAAATTGCAGGAAAGGCCTCACCGAGAGCCATGGGCCGTTTGGGAAGATTGTTTTACGGTGCGGAACGAAAACAGCCTCAGTGATCTGTCACCGAGGTGCATGTGTAGAATGAAACATTAGGCATGGTTTCATGAAGGATAGTGATAAATAAAGGAAAGGTCTACTGAGTGCTGTTTGTTAATTGTAATTTTAGAGGCATTTGAAACAACGCTGTTTGGAATAATTGTTCACGCCATTTGCATACATTTTTTTTTTCTTTTTGTTTCCATCATGACTACATAATCGCATAAGGCCTGTCTCGACTGAAATAGCAGCATATTTTTAACTTTCTGTCCTGAAATCTCTTTTGGAAAGGTTGCAGACCGTTATGGGATGAAGTTGTCTGCTGGCCTCACGCTGTTACCGGTGAAACTGTGCAAAGAGGTTGTCCTGCAGTCTTTTCTCTGTTCAGAAACATCACAGGTAGGTGACTCAGCCGGTTAAAATAAAACACCCTGAATTGTAAACTCACGCTGTGATTAAGTCAAAATGTAACACGCTTGAAAACTATAAAGTTTTTAGTTGTTTAAGGGTGTATTGTGAAGTAGTCTCATCAGGTTGTCATGGGTGGTAATTAAACTTTATCTCTAATAATAGCTGAGTAAATCTAATAAAGACTGCATATACAACTTTGTTGTTGCAAAATGAGTGAATGAAGAGTTAGTGTTGCAAATACCGTAGTTTTTTTTTTTTTTTTTTTTATGTTTTAGGTATATGTTATGGACTTAATTTCAAAGGACAAACAAAAAAAGTTTGTTCTGTAACGCGTCAAGTGGAGGTAGTTTTAGTAATCTGAGCTGGCCTAAAATTTTAGCATTTTAGCTCGATTTAAGTTAAGACACATTTTAAACAGAGCATGTAACTAATACTGTATGTTGACTGCATGACTGTGAGGCCTGTGTGAAATGCAAATAAACCAACCTGAACTTTCATAAGAACAAAAGAAGTTCACAGAAGATTTATTCTCAAAAGTCAATTGAAAGCTGACATCCAACAATGATAGAATGTGTCAAAGTCATACATTGAAGTAGAAAAAAACAAGCAGTGGAGCTCAGATAAGAGCCTTCTAGATCAAACTCAGGAAGTCCTTGAGAGGGGCACTGCAGGTTTGATAATTAGAAATACGGACAATGTCTGTGGAGCAGCAAAAAAGCAACTGAGGGAACATAAATCGGAAATGAAACAAGGACAATGACTGGAAAACAACAGTAAATCCATTACCAGCAAAATCTTGCTATGAAATCACAAAACAGAAAACGCTTGGTGGCAAATATATTCGCAACCTGATACCCAAGTGGGCTTAATTGGGATTCTGTGTGACATCAAGGTAAGCTGGTGCAACATTGTGATGTAAAAGAAAAATTAAATTTGGTTTTAATTTTTTTTATTTTTATTTTTTTGCAAATAAAAATCTCATCGATGTGGGATGTGTGTGTTCGGCACCTGTGCCAATGCTAGAAACATTATTTTGCTGCAGTTAAAGCTGCAATGAATCTACTAGCTTTAAATATGTGGAGAAATTTTTTACCATTCTTTTTTGCAAAATAGCTGAAGCTCAGTCGGATTGGGTTGGTAATCTCACTGTAATATAGGCGTAAAAAACCCAAATGGCCAAAAAAAATGTACAGTTCAAGCACATGGATTTTTATTTATTTTTGCTTTAAATCAGATCTGTATTGGTGTGAACCTAATTTAATTGAAATTTCAGAACCTGCCCACAAAATGAACAAACATGCCAACTTGTATTGCGTTCTACTGACAAGAAGTCAGTAGTTGATCTAGAAATATCAAACCTAATTTAACCACATTCCAGCTGCACAGCAAATTTGGAAGTGTTCCATCAACTCCTACAGAGTTAAATGCAACACCTTGAAAGTGTCTATAATGGTCCAATCTGGATGGCGTAGAAGTTATACTTCTGAAAGTGTTATTTGTGATAGAGTTGAATCAACACTCATAGTAGTTGAAATCAAATACACTTCAGTGTTAATCTACCCAACACTAGTGTATATTGTCATAAGTTAACACTATGGACATGTTAATGTAACAGAACGGTGTAAAGTATATATTAACATAGAAATCTGAGTTTTGAAATACTACTGGCAGGGTGTGCTGTGGTGGCGCAGGGGCTAAGCACAGGCCACATATGAAGGCTCTAGTTTTCAATGCGGCTGTTGTGGGTTTGCTTCCTGGTCTTTAGATGTGCCACAGGTTCAAAACACCAGAGTCAAATGGCTCAATTGCCTCCTCATTGCATAGATACGTTTTCCAGAGTCCTGCTAATTACCTAATTATTGTATTCAGGTGTGGTGCCGCAGCGGCACATCTAAATGTTGCAGGACAGTGGTCCTCCAGGACTGGAGTTTGACACTTGTGGCTTAGATCAAGCCAATGGTCCAGCACAGCCACTCCTCCATTTTGCAGTCTACAGCCAAAAACTTAAAGAAAACGACCCCGCAGCTAAATAATGTTAACTCAAATGGCCTCCAGATTTTCCTGACAGTTTCAATGTTCGGTTAAGATAATAAATAATTGTATAAACCGTGATATCCAAACAAATAAATGTACGTTAAGCAAACTATGTATAGCAATCGATACTCTTGTGTAAACGGAAAAATAATGCCTCCATAAAAAATAGTCAAAACCATGATCATTTTAACATGGAACTTACCTTGTTATAATAAGCTCCAGACAAGACTCCATATTGCTGCCTCCGCTCCTCAGGCAAACATGTGACGCAGTAGCGGAACAAGACGGCGTCGGCCGGGGGCGGGGCTAATGACCGGGCCCAAATAATAAAGCTCATGATAATTTAACTTTACAACATGTACATGCCCGCAACAGCGGAGCTAACAAGTTTAATCACCACAGAGAGCGACTATGTCATTTTGAAGTCCATCTGACATGAAGTACAGCAAACCAAGAGAAGAACAGAAACATCAGGCTACTGGTCACCAATGATGAAACAACACAAATTCAAAACATGTTAACGTTCCGTAGAAATGCTCTAGCTAGTTTGCCATTTGTTGCCAAGTGACTGATGATAATGTTGGTGACAAGCTTTACCCAGAATGCACCTGGAGACAATAAGGCCGATTCATTCATTTGTGTCATAAAGTTAAATATAAGAGTGAAAATAAAGCCAATCATGTGGCACAACATTTTATTCAACATTTTACACCCACTATGTCACTAAAATCAGTCAGTCTGGTAAGGTTTTGAGCAACCATGAGTCAACAATGGGGCACCCTACTATATAACCTACTGGGGTATCAAATTGGTTTTAACAGGAGAGGGCTTTCACATCAGATGCTAGAAAGAAAATTTGGATACCTGAAGACATATTTTACCTCGTATGTTGGTCCCCCTGTAGGTCCAGGCTGGGGACCTGCTGCAACCCCCACCCTACACTATCTGTTGCTCCTTCCCTGATGTGATGTCACAAATATGTTACTATTGTGGGAGGAACTGTTTGATGTTGGATCTAATTTAGAAATCAACACTGGACTGGATTGCTTTTTGTTTAACTCTTTAGTGAGTGTTAGGGTTTTAACATACAACACTTGCACTGGAAATCTGACACTTCCGAATTTGCTGTGTGGAAATAGGAAAATCAGTGCAATTAACTAATTGTGGTATGTAATAACCAGCCTAAATACTGTTAGAGATACAATCTACAGCATTTTGTATCTCAGATGGTATGAAATGAAACACAGAGAGAAGTTGTACATATATTTTATGTGATCTAAATCATGTCACTTACCTCTGACTGTACGTTCAGTGACGCTGTCGCTTGCAGCTTCAAAGGGGTTTTCTCCTTAGATTACCCCATTTATAGCTTCACCCATTTTGACACAAACTCTGTCCAGCTTTAATGTCACACGGCTGAAGAAAAGCATCCTCACAGTATGCAGCCGTGTCCTCCAAAAGCACAGTATGCAACTGCAGCCATCATCCTACACTGTGGCTGTGTTCAGGATGAAGTCCAGTGTTAGCTTTCCTCCAAATGTGATGTTGAAAAGTTTACTTTGAATCTCATCCGATCAGACCAATCTTTTACACATTTGCTGAGTCCCCTGCAGGGCTTATAGCAAACTTTAAACAGGACATTTTATAGCTTTCTCTCAAGAAACAAACCGTTTATCCCAGGAGAAATCCATATTTGTGGATCTTCTGTCAACAATTATTGGCTGCTATTGTTATCAGTTTTCTATGTGTAGTCTGCCAGTTTGGGAGCATAGCCTACTTTTGTTAGATTTGCAGCTGTGCTGTTCTCTTTATTGTTCAAATCTTGGAATATCGTTTTATTGCCTACCTTGTTTTCTCACAGCTTTATCTCCAATCTATCTGATGTTTTCCTTGGTCTTCATGATGCTGTTTATTAAGTAAAGTGGGCTAAAACGTTTACTTCTGAAGCCATCACAGAACAGCAGGATGTATACTGAGATTAAGCTAAGCACAGTTTACTAACTACTTTACTTTTATAGGCTATTGGTTGCACTGGATTTTCTTTAGGGCTGTCAAAGTTAAGTGAGCTAAATTCTCCAGTTCTCACTAAAACACTTGCAAAATTTCTTGTGAACTTGTGAATGTTTTATTTTTTTTTTCTCCACTCGTTTTAGGTTATTTTAAGATCTGAAAACCATTCATCATTTTGTTTTCACGTGACAAGTAAGTGATTCTATGTAAGAAATACGACTGCTTAGAGGTTTTATTTTTTTCTTTTCTTTTTTTTTTTTCTTAAAAAAATAGAGAGGCTCAAACATGCTCCAGAAATTTCCTCTCCACAATACAGTTGAGTTCTTGATCACCTAATGTCTGTCTGTAGGGTCGGTGAGCCGAAACTGCACGAGCCGCGGCTGGTCAAAACCTTTTCCAGCGTACCACATCGCCTGCACTGTGGATGATGACATTCCCGAGGTAAGGGTCGCCGAAGCACGACAGCTTAACGGGTCAAACAGAGAAACGCGGGACTCCGAAGATTAGGAGCGCAGAGGTCGATGAGAATATTGGAAACAGCTGGAGAAAAGAGCGGGAGCAAACCGAGAGCTGTCTGAAAAAAAGGGGGAGGAAGCACATAAAAAGCACAAGGACAAAGCGAAGGGCAAATCTGTGGCAGAATCAACACACCAAACAGGCAGTGAAAAGAGGGACGCTCCATATGTCAGGAGCTGCGTTTTTCTCATGTTAATTTTAAAGCACATTGACGTAACGGTGAACAGGCTTCCTGGAAGAGAAAAGAAGACCTATTTTGCTGTAAGACCAAAAATATGTTTGACGGACAGAGTCATAAGTCACTCAGCAGGAAATAGCTGAAATTATCTAATTTCCGTGAAAAGAAGAGAATGGCACTTAATCACAATGTTGCTTTTGGAGGACACCGGCAGAGAGATGGTGCACCTTTTGTTTTGATGTAAAAAGCCCAGTAAATGTTCTAAAAGCCGCATTGATAGGATCTCCTCTGCATTTGTTTTGCAGCCGCCTCTTGAGTACAGTTAAGTCTCAACTTTACCAGTAATTTAGTCTCATTTAGGGACATTACTCTTTGCTTATTTATTTTGAAGTCCGACAGCTTTGATATTTCAATATAATGTCCTTTCACACAAATCCGTCTTTCTTGCTCCGCTTTTAGACGGAGCAGTCGTACTTTGCCACCGTGAAGCTGATATACACCATCGGCTACAGCATCTCTCTGGGTGTGCTGGCTGTGGCTGTCTTCATTCTGCTGATGTTCAGGTATGAACGTGATAGTTAAAGACCGTCCTGGGTTGTACGCCAAATATCGATCAGTGAGCCACACGGACTTTAGAAATACTGTTCACAGCTCTGTTTGGAAACACTCTACGGCTCTGGGAAAAATAAAAAAATAAGAAATGACGAGACCACTGGACTGAACCCTGTTGAAAACCTCATTGTTACTCTACTAAATATTGATTTCTGAACTCTTCCTTAATTAAAACTTTGGCATTGTTGTTCCTAAATGAATATGAACTTGTTTTCTTTCCGCTATTTAAGGTCTGAAAGCACTGCAAAAAATTGCATGTCAATTGGTGTGACTATTTGTCTTTTTATTTATTTATTTAATTTATTTGTACACTTTTTTTGTCTGTTTGAAACAAGTAACTGGAAGAGGGAAAACTATAAAAACATTATAAGTTTGGCGGAAAGATTTGAAAGAAATGTTTATTTTTCGTAATTGTGCAGTATAGCCTGCAGCACGTTACATTTGTTTGCATGCTTTTCAACAGGAGGCTGAGATGTGCCAGGAACTTCATTCACATCCAGCTCTTCCTCTCCTTTATCCTGAAATCTGCAGCCGTGTTCATAAAGGACGCAAATTTGTTTCCAACTTATGACACCAACCACTGCACCTTGTCCACGGTGAGATAAACACTCCCAACGGGAGAGTTTGGGATTGAATTCCCCGTTTAATTTTTCCCTCTTTGTTTTTTTTTTTTTTTTTTTTTTTTTTCTGTCCAGTTTGCTTGCAAGGCTTCTGTGGTTTTCTGCCACTACTGTATGATTACTAATTTCTTTTGGCTCCTGGTAGAGGCGCTCTACCTCAACTCCCTGCTGCTCTCATCTTTCTACCACAGCCGCCGCTGCCTTTGGGGCCTCAGCATTCTGGGATGGGGTGAGAAGCTCAATATAAAAAAAAAAAAAAAAAAAAAAAATGTCTCTGTAAGCGACAGGCAACAGATGTCAAGATTGTGACTTAAACATGTTTGCATTCTCTGGAGCCAAGTAAACAGTTTTATTTTAGCAATTTAAAACTGTTCAGTTGAAGCAACTTGTTTAGCAATTACTTGGAGCCAGTAGTGAAGTTAGATGACTGTCCAACAGATTGTGTTTAAACTTCTGTAACTTTCAAGCCACTGTCGTATTTGCCAACCTGTCATGTGATTTCTCTTTGAGGTCTCTGACCTGAGCAGGTTGTAGTTTTGTGAGTAGACTATGTGTAGATGTGCAAGAAATTTTTCAGCATAAGCGATACCAAACAGTCATTATGTGTTTACAGGACAAAATGAATGCATAAAGCCTCCTAAAGCCTAATCTGCTCTTAGTAATTGCAGCACAGCTCAGAGACGATCTAAAGGAAAATTCAGTTTCATACACTAATAACAGTGTAATTATGACTTTGCCTTCTCTGTGTGTCTTGATTAGATGTCATTGACATTAATTTTGGTTTCCTGCCTCTCTACAGGTGTGCCTGTTGTCTTTATACTTCTGTGGATTGGATCCAGGGTTTACTTTGAGGACACAGAGTTTGTATAAAACCTCATGACTTTTGGAATTCACTTATGTTGTTCATCTATGTCATTTAGTCTAAGCAATTAAGAATGATGAATCACAGTACGCTAAATAGCTTCATTAAGTTAGAAAATGAGTTTACGTGTGAGGTGTACGTTTAATTTAGGTGGTAAATTATTTTTCGCTCTTACGCGTACTTTATTATTTGTGCTTGGCTTAACTACGCTCTTGTTCAGTTCACATGAAACAACTCCAAACGTCTTTAAAGTGTCTTCGTCTGCAGATGTTGGGACAACACCAAGGACTCTCCTTACTGGTGGATCATTCAGGGACCAATTGTTGTCTCTATAGCGGTAAATGCTCCCATTGAAAAACCCTACAGAATCATACAGATTGTTTGCAGTGATGTTTTTTGATATGAGCAAATATGGCTCAGGTATAGAGGCCACTATCACTACCATCCAAGAGAGTTTTCTGTTGGTTATTTTAAAGCAACAGAAACAGAGTTTGATAAAAAAAAAGTTATGTTTTTTGTTTTTTTTTTCAGAATGGGCTTCATTAGTGGAGTGGAGTGTGTTTTTGATTATTTTCAGCATTATAGGGAGAGTGAATAAGTGGGGTTTAGGGCACAGAAGGAAGAGCACATCAAGACTTCATTCATGCAAAAACCATTACTAATTGTGAAATTATTTTTTTAACCTTTATTTTAGAGACATTTCAGAGGAAGGAACTTGTTAAAAAAAAAAAAAGTTTGTGCTGTTGAAGCAGAGTATAAAAATCTCTACCAACGCCGGACTAAGTCAATTTTACAGTCTGATGATCGTCACTTTGCCTTGACGTTTAGTAATCATGTCGGCATGAACATTTTCTACCATTTCAAGCCTGCGAGAACAGACATCAATTTTTATTTTATTTTATTTATTTTTTTTATCAACAGGTCAATTTTATGCTTTTCGTGAACATCATCAGAATCCTCATACAGAAGCTAAATCCTCGGCTGATCCAGTTCAATAACTCCTCTCAATACAGGTAATACTCAGTAACGTCTGAGCAGTGACGCACTTTCTCAGCCTCAAATGCTGATTGTATGTCTGCTGGAAATATTTTCAAAGAAAGTAGAGCGCTTGTTTGCAACCTTGAAGTCTGAGGACTGCGTTTATTAAATTCAGATTCCCCCCCAGACAAAGTGTAGATTTTTCAGAGTCTTGGACTTATTTGTGGTAAACTCTTGCACTTTCTCAGAGTGATGATTGACACTTCTTTGAATACCTTTTAGCTCTCGGATGCAGTTTGTGCAAAAGCCGTTGATACACTCGTAGTGTGTCCTGAATAATTCATTTGACCTACATGCCGAACATCAATCTGCTCAGTCTGGCCACGTCTACCTTTCCTCTTACCAAGAGCCTTATGAGAATTTCTAATTGAAATAGGCTCGCTAATAGACTGAGTGCGCCCGGCACATCAAGTATGCTGGACCTCATAAAAGACAAATCAAGGTAAGTTAGAAGATGCTTGATTTAATTATCAGCTACAGCGCATCTGTACCTGTAACACAAATACATGCAAACACACACACATGCACATACAGAGTAATCCTCCCAAATGATGTCCGGACTTCCTTTTTACCCATTTGCATTGGCAGCATTCAGATGAGAAAGGCTCTATCTCCGACAGGATGTTTCACCTCTGGTATCTTATCTGGGTTTTATTTCCCTCTGTGCAACAGGCGCCTGGCCAAGTCCACCCTCCTCCTCATCCCTCTGTTTGGAACCCATTACATGTTCTCCAGCTTTCTGCCTGACTACTTAAACAACCTGCGCTTCTACATCGAGCTCTGCCTGGGATCTTTTCAGGTACAAACGTGAACTTGTCACACAAACTCGACTAGTAGCTATGAAAAATGACCTAACCCCATTTGCTTCCGCTTCGTACGTGTGTACACAACCCGTTTTACTTTCATGCTGTATATTAGTTTATTTCTCCTTTCAGCTTCAAACGTTTTTGTATATTATGAGTATTAAACGCCATGTTAAATATAAATTTCTTGAGTCTTGATTTGAAGAGGCCCAGGTCAGAAATCAGGTGTAAATACTTTGTTAACTTTGTCACTTGTTGCACAATATGATGTCATGGTCAGACACAAGGCCAACACAGAAAATGACATTTAAATGCTTTTGAGTATGTTCAGATTCAGATGAGAAAACACTTTGACTGCTTGGAAGCAAACCAAACAGAACTTGAAGGTGATTTAAAACTTTTTGCACAAGCCTGCACTCTCATGAACCGTAAGCATACAAGTCCTCCATCACTGCTTTAAGCTGTATGCATACCTGTGGTCGAACTGCAACGTTAAAGTGAACGAAGACGGGCTCAAGACTTGCTGTCGCACAAAAGACATCCGAAATCCAGTGAACGTGACAATTAATAATACAAATTGTCTCTTTTGCAGGGACTTCTTGTTGCCGTCCTCTATTGCTTTCTCAATCAAGAGGTCAGTACAAACCATACACTCAAGTGTAACACATTCAGAATAACTCCCATCTCTGATGCATAAAGCATGTGTTTAACAATATTGAAGACCTGTGAGAGGTGCGGGGGGGGGGGGGAAAACTGCCAGCACTTAAAGCACCAAAACAATTTGCCACTTCTTTCCGCCTTGTTGCATAAATGAAGGCCCCAATGTGGTTTCAGTAATTATCATAATTAATGCAAGGCTGATCTCCTATCAGTCCCTGAGCATCACCTGTCTGTCTCTCTGTCTGTCTGTCTTTATCTGTCCTAGTGCTTAATAGACATTTCTTGCACTAACTTAATATCTATTAAGTCCCTGATATTAATAGATATTACTAACTTAGCACTAACTTAATATCTATTAAGTTAGTGCAAGAAAACATTTTTCCAATTGCATAAATTGGCAATGCAGTCTTTGCAATTTTTTTTTTTTTTTTTTTTTTATTTAAATACGAGGCTCCAAATGCCAAGGGAAAAATGGATTGCGATTTGTTTTGTATTTTCAAGATTTCACGTGCACTTCTCCAAAATGTGGGGACAGTTGCCCTTTAAATGCTCAATTAGTAGATCCATAACTTTGTTCTGCCCATTCCATTATTGGCTATTGCCAGTTAATTTTTTTGCTTTGACATTTTACTATCCCTTACTCACAAGGAGTTATAATGGCAGCCCATCAATCTCTTATACCATACTTATCCACTGAAACTAAGCGGGCTTGATATTTTAAAATGTTAGACAATGTTTTCTTGGTGCTCATATATATAATTTGTTTTTTCATGACAGAGAGGTGTCTTCTTGTCTTTTTCTTCAGCCTTATGTATGTTCTCCCTTGCACTTAACCTTGTGCTGTAGGTGCAGAAAGAGGTCCACATGCAGTGGCTGAGGTGGCAGGAGAGGAGCTACGGCGTGGTGTCACCCGCGGCAAAGGGGAGCCAGATGGACACTCCCTTCTGATATCTCTCTGGGGTGATAGCCGAATGCTCAAATAGGACTGTTTCTGTGCATATTGTGTCTGTCTAATAAGCTGTAGCGCACGCACAGTGATTGTTTTTGATTCCTCAGCGAGCTTTTTCACGTTTGTCCAAACCGCGGGACAGACTGTCGTACCGACTGCCAGATTCTCTCTGTTCTTCAGGCAAAAACAGAGAGAATCTGAAGTCAACTAAGATTGCAACACAATGCTCACGTCTCACACAACAGTTCTTGGATACGTCTCCCTGACTGCACACTAATCCCATGAAAAGAGCAGCGTTCTGCCTTAGAGGCATCGCTCGTTAAATTAGTGACTCATAATAATTTCATCAAGCTGAGAGATCGGCCTAACAATTATAGAGCCGTCATTTAGAAAATGAAACGTTAATAGGGGGTTTATTTTTAATCAAGAAAACAATGTTTCCTAATTTACATTTTAACGTAAACATGGTGTTGACTGGCCTGTTCAAATCAGTGTCAGCTTTCGATTTTGGTGAGAAAGCGTTGTATGTGCATTAAAAAAATACCTATGTTTGAACATTTTATGTTGTTTTTACTCTTATGCTCCTTGCTTGCTGTGAGTCACACCGAGTCCACGAAGATTGAGGCACGAGTTACCTCAAGACTTCTTCTGCTTTCTTCAGCTGGATTTGGGTTTTCCCAGGGTGCTATTCATACCAGAAACGCCATCGATCAAAGTTTTTTTTGTTCATTTTTCATTTGTGTTTGTATCCTAATTCCCACCTCTGTTTGGTTTTTACTTTGAGGTGTAGTTATGCTTTCTTACTCTCTTTTATTTATTTATTTATTTATTTATTTACTTGTATTAAACTCAGTTTCTACTACTAACTCGCATTCAGCATTGTGTTTGTTGTTGTAAAAAATCTGTAAAAGTGGATTTTAATGATATGATACAATAAATAAGCCTGTTTTTTGGGGGGTTTTTTTGCTTTTTTTTGTCAATCAAATCACTTGTGCAAAATTTGCCTGCATAAAGGCCAGATCTTGACCCTACAGGTCTGCACTTTTTGTGATCTTTGAGTCACAGTGAAGATCAGAGTCATGTAAGAGCATTGTTTGGCCTTAAACTGAATGTAAAACCTGTCATAGTTTGTGCCAGTTGTTACTGAGTCTCCATAATAGATTTTGATGTTGCTGCCTTGTCTTGTCACCACTCTGTATTTCCTGTGAGTTCAAGCATAGACTTTTGTCCTCGGTAGCCTCTTTTAGGGAAGACGGTAACTTTCAGCTGGCAGCTCTAGGAATGTTGAAACACTGAGAATTAATGTCTCACTGTTACTAACTGTGATTTAAGTGATGGGTGACTTTTAAGGACAAAAGCGGGGATTTCTTAACGTTCTCACTCAGAAAGTTAGTGTGGAACAGTGTTTGGAATTGTTTTTGTTTGCGTCACATGAATAAACGTAATAATAAATCAGCTTTTTAAAACCATTGGCATGCTTCGTGTGTTTTTCAACAGTTCAGAAGTTGATTCATTCAGAAAATGAATTATGCACAGTTAAGTACAGATCAAACAATGCACCCAAATGGCATGCGATAAGTCTAGAAAAAATAAAACACACACACAGTAAAGTAAAACTCAAGGAACAACAAAATGCTAGAGGTTTTGAACACAGGCAAAGACTCATCAGAAAAAGTGAGAACGATGAAGTCCAACTACTTCTTGACAGCAGGAAATTGAAATATAAGGAAGAAATGAACTAAGAGAAGATACTTTATGACCAGAAGTGTGGAATTGAAGATGGGACACACGGGAGCAGGAAATGAAACCTCAGCTATTCAACTTTTAGTTTGAATTTCTCTGCAAAAGTGGCTGTCTTCTAGAGAACCGCTACTTATATTTCTGACCATGACCTTTGTTCATTTTACAAGCTGTTCCAAACACAAAAAGACTTGGTCTCATGTTTTCAACAAGCCTTTAGAGCTCCTTGATTTGTGTAGGGGAGAGTGAATGCCTCGCATGCAAATGGTAAAAAGAAACATTAAAAGAATTTTGACAGAAAAAATAAATAAATTAAGCTTTTAGGACACAAATTATTGAGAACGTTTCGACATGCTTGATTAAAAATGTGTTTATTTTCTGTAAATATTTAAAATATAGACATTTGTTGCTACTGGGTACTACAGACGGGTAAATATTTTACCAGATGTGAAATCTGGTAAAATAATTACTCAGCTGTGAGATGCAGCAGATAGATAGATAGATAGATAGATAGATAGATAGATAGATAGATAGATAGATAGATAGATAGATAGATAGTCCATATCTTTCAATATGTTGTCTGACTGAAAGTAATAAGTAATGCCCTTACTTGAATCTGACCACTGGTCGTTTCCAATGGCTGTCGCTATTTCCAGTTAAATGTGATCAAAAATCATCATTGTATTATACTTTGAGAGATTGCTGTCACATTCCCTAACATAAATCTGACTAGGGAACAAAATTGTGTGCTTGCTGTAGAAGAAGAGCCCGCAGGCCTCTTCTTGTTTCTGGCTCGTTGTTTGCGGTGTTTGGGGATTAGTGGAATGGGAAGTGCGGAGCTCCGACACAGGATGTGGAGTCACTGCTGGATTGCATCGCCTCTCCCCTCTTTATATGATTCCGACATAGAGAGAGAAGCCTGGCTTGCAGCTGAAGAGATCGAAGTAAGCTACGGATCGCGCATTTTTCGGCGTCTTTAGTTTGGGGAAACATATAATCCGGGTGTAACGGTGAGTTTGATTGAAGATCTCTGCCTCGCATCGCATCAACACGTTTGTTTATTCCCAGTTAACATGACATGTTTATGCTGTTTTTGTGGCGTAACTTTTCACCTAGACCGTAAAATCTAACGCACAGTTTCAACTCACAATATAAGTTGAAGAGCTTTACATTTTTTTTAAAAAAGTGAAAAAAATAAATTAATTTGACTAATTATGTAAAGACATAAACCTCTTACAAAACTCCAGAGTCATTTAGGAGCTATTTGTTAATTGTGTTTGTGTCCACATTAAATGCTATTATGTTGGTTTTGCTAGGAGAGTTGCAAACTTCAAATCAAAAGTTTCAGAATTTTGACCTTAAAATGTCAACAGTGGCATAATATAATCAATGCTTTCTATTTAAAAACTAGTCATCAGGGAACTGAGAATCTAATATCCATTGTGAAAATAACCAAGTGAAGGTGGACAAAGCATCCATGTAGTGCTTTGTTCAAGTTCTGATATTTCTGAATACATAAGTTTACATTGACTAGTTGTCTCATCAAACAACCTCTAACTGTCTCAACTGTGAGGTTGACAATTCAGCTACACACAAAAATTTGATTTAAATTATCCGTATTACGGTGGATGTTATTTGTCTCTGTAACTTTTTCTAAAGGTTTTTCAGTTTAGCAGAGATTAATGTCAGTGGCAACCAGGGGTGGGAAAAAAAACCCTGTATCAGACAGTAATCATTTTAAAGTGGCTGCAGCTCAAGCATATGTGGTACTAATAGCTTTCTTATGCTTTGTGCAGCCTCAGAAGGAGAGGTGGGGGGTAATGACAGGCTGCTTAAATCCCCCACATCATGCCTTTCGTGCCTAAACATGCATTAAACAGACTGTGTTCTCTGTTGTCTGACTTACTGGAAACAGTCATTTGCAGCTCTATAAACGATCCGATTTCCTGATGTCGTTTCAGGCAATGACCCATGTCTGGACCCTTGTGTCAGCGTTGCTGCTGCTGCTGCTTTTGCTAGTGACTGGAGTTGTGAGCAACCATGAAGAAAATGACAACGAAGTCCTCAAACAACTGGAGACCAAACTCAACAGGAGCCAGGTCAGTCAGATGTGTGGAGCTTTTTTGTTTTGTTTGCTTGATCTATAAAAAGTGAAGGGATGGGAGGGAACATTATGTGAAATTGACTTTTTTTGAGCTTTATATCATAATCCCTTGTCAAAAACATTCTTGTACTGTTGCCTTGATTTTTTTCGTTTATGTTTGAGGAATCCATTATTCTCCGATGGCAGCCATTTGGGGGTGCCTAAACGCTTGCTCATACAAGCACCTCCTATTTCTACAAAGCTCCTCCTCAGAGCTGAAGTCTCCAAGCTCAAAGAGCTCTCCTCCTCTATGCCTTCCTCACTCAGCTCCTCCAGACTAGTGGCAGCAGCAATGAGAAATTTATCTGTATTTGTTTTTTGTTTTTTTATCTTTATTTCACTTTTTTGTCCTTCTTGTTTTCAACTTTTCAATCACCTTGGTCAACAATTTGTCTTGGTAGAGAAAGAAGACTTAAACAGCAAAATGGATCTCTTTTAGGCTTAAAGCTATGAATAAACCTTGTATATTTTTGCATTTTTCTGTTTCAGAATCCAGAAATTGAGAATGCAATCAGAAATATCACAGAAGTGATGGAGAGTCGTACAGCAACCACATGTAGGTTTTCTATGTCTTCAGTGGGTTGTGCCGTTTTCCTTTTTTGTTTGTTTTGTAATACAATCGAAAATAAATGTAAAACCTTGAGCTTTTTTCCAATTTAGTTACTGAACAACAGCAACCCTCAATATGTTTTGTCATAAAAAAAGAGAAATATGACGTCTACATTTCACTCCATCCTTCCACCTATAATTGAGCAACCTTAAGTTAACTATTTAATATGAATTCAATTCAATTGGGCTACATTTCATTGAGATATGAGTGTAAAAGTTTGCCGAGTACAAATACACACTCCTTTCTCAGCATTTTTGAAAAAAAAAAAACATTTACTGGTTTTTGCTGCCATGTCACAGTTCTGTACTACTTGGCTTGCTTCTGATCTGTCAGATAAAATCCCGATAAAACGCATCGAAAATTGCAGTTGCAACATGACAAATTGAGGAAAAAGTTCAAGGATTATTAATACTTTTACAAGTCACTGTGTTGCTTTCTTTCTACATAAACAGCTCCAACGATTACGACGTCTCGGCCGAGCCCCACCCGTGCTCGGCGTCCAGGAAACCAGGTGACGCAGGGGGGCAGCACTGCTTGCGGCTGTCCGTCCGAGACAGTGCAGAGTGGCGACAGCTGTATTTGCCCTGTAGGATTTGCTCTGCACGGAGCAGCCGAGTGTAAAGGTGAGACTTGCAAGCACGGAGCGATGATTTAAGATGATGTTTGTGGTTCTGGAAATCCAGGGGAATCTCTGTGGATGTTGTGAAATTGTCCTCAAGTTTAGAACGGTAGGCAGGTTGGTGCAAACAATGGAGGAATTTGTCATGGAAAAAAACGACAAATTCTAAAAAAGTGGAGCTATTTTAAGGAAGTAGCAGAATCAATCTTCCACCTGACTCTGTTAAACTCTATGTTTTTGTATTTTTTTTTTATATATAAATTTTTGCTCTTAGCTCTTCCACATCATGTCACATTTGATCTTGTATCTTCCCCTCATCTGTCTCCATTCACCAGATGTTAATGAGTGTGAAGGACCCGGGCCATGTGGTCCCCATGCCAGCTGCACTAATACCCCCGGCTCATACTCATGTTCCTGTCTCCGTGGCTACCTGATGGGTTCTGGAGGGTGCCAGGGTTTGTCTGCCTCCATAAATGTGTGTGTGTGTGTGTGTGTGTGTGTGTGTGTGTGTGTGTGTGTGTGTGTGTGTGTGTGTGTGTGTGTGTGTGAGTGTGCGTGTGTGTGCACGCATATGCGGCAGAGAGAAAGATATGTATATTTTAATAAAGCTAGCGCTTGTGTGTCATGGTTATAAAGAATATCTCCTTTGGATTTTTTCTTTACAGACATAGATGAATGTGCCCTGGCTGCGGTCACGGGCTTGCAGGCCTGTCAGGAAGGGGCTGAATGCACAAACACCCCTGGTTCCTTCATCTGCTCGTGCCCAGTGGGATATGTAAGGGCTTTGAATGGACAAGGCTGTGTAGGTAAAGTGCATTTTGGGATGTGATACGAACACTGCCTTCGTGATGAAAAAAATAAAATAAACGTGAAAGATTCCTGCGTAGCGTGGCCCTGAATGACTGAATAATCATGAATAACCCTCTTGATCTTGGCCCTCCACCCTGACTTGGACAGCTGTTGATTTTCGTCCTGTGTAGATGTGGATGAGTGCAGCTTTGAGGAGCTGTGTCGCCGTGAACTGGGAAACGTGTGTGTGAACACTCCCGGCAGCTTTCTGTGCCAGTGCCAGCGGGGCTTTAGAGCCGAGGCCCCTGCCTGTGTTGGTAAGTCTTTTATTAAATATCACTGGAACAGACTCATATTTAGATCTGAGTCGATGCTTTCAGTATCTAGGTATAAATCTCCTGAAAGTGAGGAGTATTCTAGTGACAGATTTACAACCACTTAAGCTTAATCAGAGCCCTGACTGAGGTAAAGTGGGTTTCAACACAATTTGTAATGTGACTTTTTTTGTGTAAATAACACATATTTTAACTTAGCTGTAAAATATTTAAGAGGGAATCTGATCAGCAGT